AAACAACAGCAGTGTCCCACAAACAGTCGTGGGTTGAGTGACCACATTGTTTTTAAGAGATTATTATTACCCCCAGGATTGGGATTAGTTAAACAAACACAAAAACTTCCACCAAGGTACCGGTGGCAGATAAAAGAGGCTGACGGGGCTCCGGAAAGCCTATTTCTAGGTCGGTTCTGCACATTTCTCTGACTGTGTTTGAATCTGTAGAATGTTAAGACATTTGGGAGAGAACATTGAAGCAGATGTGGTGTGAAAGAGATGCTCTGCAGATTGCGAGACTCAGTTGTTTCCAGTTCTCTGAGGATACCCCTGGGACCGACCACAGGGAAATCAGGCAATTATTCTGATGGCAAACATTTCCCACTCTATCTGTGAAGAGCACTACAGATAGCGCGTGATTAAACCCTGATTACCACTCCCCCTTCCCCCCCACCCACCCACCTTGGCATTCAAACACACCGCTTGTAAAAGGAGGTGATGATCGAGGCTGGGAGGGCTGAACGCCTTCTCACCAGCCCTCGTTCCAAGCGGGAAAAAAGACAAGCAGGCCAGTGGGCTGAGAGACAAAGACAACGTGAGAGCAGGCCACAAACTGGAACAGATTAGCTGCCGACTAAGCTACAAGGAGGAGGCTCTCAGTGAACACTGATAAAATCTTCATACCTTTTTTCCCCCTTGCTAGCAATTAATTTAGAATTTGAAATGAGCTCATTAACCAATTCATTGAATCATAGAATATCACAGCGCAGAAGGAGGCCATTCAGCCTGTGCCGGCTCTTTGGAAGAGCGCCCCAATCAGTCCCACTCCCCCGCTCTTTCCCCATTTCCTTTGCAAGTCCCTATCCAATTCCCTTTTGAAAGTCGTTATTGAATCCGTTTCCACCGACCCTTTCAGGCTGTGCATTCCTGACCCTAACAACTTTCTGGGTAAAAAAAAATGTCTCCTCATCTCCCCTTTGGTTCTTTTGTCAATTATCTTAAATCTATGTCCCCTGGTTGCTGACCCACCCGCCAGTGGAAATAGTTTCTCCCGATCTACTCTACCAAAACCCCTCATAATTTTGACCACCTCTATTAAATTAAATCTAAGGAGAACAATCGCAGCTTCTCTAGTCTCTTCACATAGCTAAAGTCCCTCATCCCCGGTACCATCCTGGTAAATCTCCTCTGCACTCTCTCCAATGCTTTGATATCCTTACTATAGTCCTTGCATGAAGACCATTTCTACTCAGAACCACTCAAACCTCAGGGTGGGTTAAAGTAAACTTGTAATGGGTTTATGTAATAAACTCTAAGGTGTGAGCACAGACAAGAGACCAGAAGAGGGAAGGTGAACTGATTTCCTGCCCCTACCCTCTGGAACTCCATCCTGGAATTACCCCTGCCTTGCCCCCTCACTTGCCTCCTTCAAGGCCAGTCTCAAGACCTTCCTCTTTGTTCGTGCCTTTGGCCACAATCCCAACCCTGACCCCTTACCCATCAACCCTATTGATTCCAAATCCCAGCTCATGTGCAAACCCTTAACTGTTCAGTGCCTTGGGGCGTCCTTCCGACATAAAAAGGGCTGTGCAAATGCAATTGATGTTGTTGCTGTTTGAAAGTATAGTTCTGGGTTTACTTTCCTACGCTACAGGTGGAGTCCTGTAGCTCAGTGGTAAGAGCGCTCCCCTCGCAAGAACATAACATAAGGAATAGGAGCAGGAGTAGGCCATTCAGCCCCTCGGGCCTGCCCCGCCATTTAATAAGATCATGGCTGATCTTCTAACCTAATTCCATTTACCCGCCCTATCCCCATCTCCCTTAATCCCTTTATTTTTAAAAAATCTATCGATCTCAGTCTTGAATATGAGAGGAACTGGGTTCGATTCCCGGGCAGGGCGAAACTTTGGGCAAGCTTCCTTATCCCGTCTTCAAGACGTCTCAAAGCACTTCACAGAATATACTGTAAAGTGTATATTTTATGGGCAAAACGCCAATAGAGCACAGCAGTGTCCCACAAACAGCTGTGAACTGAGTGACCAAATTATTATTTTTATTTATTTTTTGGAAAGGGATCGTTACCCCTGGAAAAGCGATCCGCCAATCGACCAACAACCGGGTTCCTACTGACCGCTGGAAAAACAGAGGCGTGGGGAGTAAGGAAACTTGCCCAATGTTTTGCCCTCCCTCTCAAACGCAGCACTTTATGCTGTGGCTAAACGTGGCTGTAACTTCCACACTTGGCATTGCTGACATCAGGGCACTCACTGTTGGCAGCCAACTGTGTAGGTTACAGCCACAGCACAAATACCAGTGGGTTCTGGTAGTCCCGCTTTGGGGAGGATGGCACCACCCTCCAGCACTGCAAACATACACTGACTGAGTTAACCCCTTGCACACCACCAAGGGACTCAAACCCACAAGAAATTATTGGGCTTTGGATTTCCTTCGCTATTTGATGACTGCGTTAAGGTACGTTTGCACACGGCCCGATTCTCCCTCTAAGTATCTTATCCGACAGGTCGTTGAGCCTGAACAGTGCATGTTAGCAGGTGATTCAACCACAGTCTGATCCTGTCAATTGATGCCTATACACTTCCAGCTGATGGTGGGGAGGGGAGGAGGGGGTTCTTGGATATCTCTAGATATTATTCAGGAGCTAATTCCCTCCATCTCCCCAGACCCTGTGTGTTGAAGCCAATTTCAGCACCTCTTCTCCTGCTCTGGCTCAGGTGAGCTAACAGCATAGCCTGAAGATTTCCCCCACCTGCCCAGCCTGTCTGGCTTGTTCCTGCACCAGGCAGCACCTCACCCATTAGGACTCCACTGTAACTGGCTCTACTCCACGGACCTGTACGCAGCAATAGTGCACAGCTGGAGCAAGGCTACAATAAACACACCTTTGCTTTTGATATAGTACCATCAGACTGGACATTCCAAAGTGCTTCACAGGACTTGCTGTGAAGTGTAGTGACTATATATCTTGTAGGTGAATGCAGCACCCAGTCTGTGCACAGCAATGTCTCACAAACAGCCATGACTGAGAGACCAACAGCAAAGACGAAAGCAGCTTGCGTTTTATATAGCACCCGTCAAGCGGGCTAGCGTATCGGAGCGCAGACCAATTTTATCTGGGTCTTGTTGGCCAAGACATTGGGAGAGAGAAACTCCCTTCCCTTTTCTGTTAGCGCCACAGGATCTTTAAAGTTAAACATTTTATCCATGGGACAGGACCTCCAATATGGCATCACTCTGCCAACACTGTGTTGGGAGTGTCAGCCCAAACGTGGTGCCCGAAACCTACGATATAACAACAATAATCCTGGCATTCGATGCAGCGCCTGATCACGCCGTCGCGACGTCCCAAATCGCTTCGCAGAACACACTGCAAAGCTGCGTATTTTGTGGGCGAAACGGGGGCAGCCAATGGCGCACAGCGGCGTCCCACAGACAAGTCGTGGGTTGAGCGGCAACTTTCTGACTCGGAGAGCGACGGGGACTGAGCGAGTTCCCGCGCCAGCAAAAATATTTCAACAGGGATCGAGCCACCTCGCGAGGGGGACCCACGGTGTGGCTGCACCGCCACCTGCTGGACCTGAGAAAGCACGACTGCTGTCAACTGGCGAGCTGCTCGGAAGAAATGCTGGACAAGAAAAAGCCCGAGGTCCATCTATGGAGAAAGGAAAGTGAGTCAACGTTTCGGGTCCACGACCCTTCGTCAGAACGCGCGCGTGCGCGCGTTCTGACGAAGGGTCGTGGACCCGAAACGTTGACTCACTTTCCTTTCTCCATAGATGCTGCCTGACCTGCCGAGTGTTCCCAGCTCTCTCTGTTTTTGTTTCAGGTCTCCAGCTTCTGCGGTATTTTGCGTTTTTGTTTCCGAGGTCCATCTAGTTGGCCTACCACCTGCCCGGCGGGCGGGCACCCGCCCGTATGTCCTGGACTCCCTAAGTTACTAATATCCCGTGATGTTATTTCCTCAAAGAAAGTTAACTGCTCTGCGATTGAAGGAATCAACATTTCTCTTTGACCGTGGCTGATCCCATTGCAGGTCAGCTAGAGCCAGGTCAGCTAGAGCTCCCTCAATGGACTCGTGGATAGAACAACAACAACAACAACAACAAGATTCCATTTATAAAGCGCCTTTCACGTCAGGAGGACGTCCCAAGGCACTGCACAGTTGGGTCATGACCCGAGCAGGGGGGAAATGGTCAGGGTGAGGGGAAAGAAGGGAGGGAGCGAGGAGGGGGGAAATGGTCAGGGTGAGGGGAGGGAAGGGAGGGAGGGAGCGAGGAGGGGGAAGAGAGTCGAGAGGGGAGCTGAAGGCTCGGTCAAAGAGAAAGGTTTTGAGACCGGCCTTGAAGGAGGAAAGGGAGGAGGCGGCGAAGGCACTGGGGGATGGAGTTCCAGAGCCTGGGGGCTGAGAGGCTGAAGGCCCGACCACCGATGGTAGGGCGGTTGGGGCGGGGGACGTGGAGCAGACCGGAGCCGGAGGAACGGAGGGTACGGGCAGGTAGGTAGGGGATAGTAGGTTGGAGAGGTAGGAGGGAGCGAGGCCGTGAATGGCCTTGTAGGTGAGGATGAGGATCTTGAAATCAATCCTCTGGGGGATGGGGAGCCAGTGGAGGCGAGCGAGGGTGGGAGTGATGTGGTCGCGGTGTCTGGTGCGGGACAGTACACGAGCTGCAGAGTTCTGAATGATCTGCAGCTTGTGGAGGGAGGTGGCGGGAAGGCCGGCGAGGAGAGAGTTCCCATAGTCCAGCCTTGAGGTGACAAAGGCGTGAACTAGGGTTTCAGCAGCGTGAGGGGTGAGGTAATGCCGTGACACTGAGCCCTTTAAGCTCCACGTGGAAACTGGGTGGGCGGGATATCAGCCAACTCCTGACCACTGGCCAGAACCATCAGGTGACTCGGATGCCAGCCCCACCCCATGCTTCTCTCCCCCACCCCACCATCACTCCCCCATCCGAGCAGTATCTCAGAGGTGCTGAGCCAGGAGATGGGAGTCTGGGACTCACGGTCCGCTGAGTCCTTGTGGTTGCTGAGCTGCTCGTCGGTGGTGCCGTCCAGCTGTGGCAGCATGATCGGCCGCAGAAAGTCACCGTCATCCTCCGGCATCACCAGCTTCATCAGGCTCTGGTTACACACGTTGGCCACCTCCTTGATACCTGTGACACTGGGTTAAGGTCAGTCAGTCACTCGCACAACACCTGGGCTTGGGGCTGGGCCCTGACACCAACCCTAACAATACGTGTACATAGTCAGAAGTGCCCCCTGTACTTCCCACCCACCCCATCATAGAATATTAGAGCACAGAAGGAGGCTATTCAGCCCATCGTGCCTGTGCCAGCTCTTTTGAAGAGCTACCCAATCAGTCCGACTCCCCCGTTCTTTCCCTACATCCTTGATATTTTTTTCCCTTTTCAAGTACCAATTCTAATTCCCTTTCGAAAGCGACTATTGAACCTCCATCCACCCACCCTTTCAGGTAGAGCATTCCAGACCCTAACAACTGCTCACATTAATTGGGGGATTGGTGTTCAGGCTCCAGATTGAAGAGTGATTGTCTGTATTGAGGCTCAGGGCAAAGGATTCAGCAAACGGGGAGTAAACCCAGACTATCATGACGACTGGTGCAGCAGACAGCTTCTCAAACCAAATCCTGGTGTGTGTCTGCCCGGGTCAGGTGGGGGTGGAGGAGAGGAAAGTTTCTAATCACTGGCTAAATGTTTTGGAAGGTCTTTAGGCTTCTAGCTTACAACCTCTGAGAAAAGCCATGAGGTTGCAGGCGAGATATGGGTTGAATCTGAACACAAAGTGGAAAGGGTGACAACTGTTCTATGAGTGCTGCGAGAACTGATCAACGGAGATGGGAGGGAGGACGGGGAGTGAGACTAAACTGGTACAATGACTAGTGCACTCTAGTGCAGTGCTGGGGGAGAGCTGCATTGTTAAAAGGTGACGTCCTTCAGATGAGACATTAAACTAAGGTTACAAATTGGTCACTTCAATCCACGACTGTTTGTGGGACGCTGCTGAGCACAATTGGCTGCTGAATTTCGCCCAATAAACATACAGTCAATTCACTTTGCAGCGTATTCTGTGAAGCGTTTTGAGGCGTCTCGAAGACGTGATAAGGCGCTGTATCAAATGCAAGTATTATTATTGTTTTAAATAACATTGATTTGATGGCTAGTGGGGCATTGCTGTGTGGAGATTGGCTGCATCTCTGACAACAATACTGTTGGCCTACACTGTGAGACAACTCTGCCCCTAGACTGCCCTGAAACTCTGGAACTCTCTCTCTCGATCCCTCCGCTTTGCCCCCTCCCTTCCCACTTTCAAATCCCTTCCTTTTTGATTGTGTTTACGGTCAACTACCCCCTCCTCTCTGCCCGGCTCGGCGCCAGATTCCACCACTGTCAAGCACTCCGGGACGCTACCCCGCATGAAGGGCGCTGTGTAAATGCAAGTTGTTGTTGTTGTTGCTGGTGACAACATCTTGAACCCACAACTTGCTGCCACGTTGGAGAGGCTGCTGTCACTCACAGAGCCAGGCTGACATCTTGGCACAGAGCAGTGGGAGCTGGGGATATGGTGTCCTGTAGTCACTGCCCTTATAACTGGGCCAACAGTCACAACCACAGCTGCGCTGCCCAGCAGTGTGATAACTCTTACCTGTCCTTATAGACCTGTCCGCTCAGAGGGCTCTGGTCTACTCAATGACCCCCCGCCCGGCCTACCCACCATCGGTGGTCGGCCCTTCAGCCTCTCTGCCCCCACTCATCCCACAGAGCCTTTGTCTCGCCCCCTCCCTCCCTCACCTCCTTCAAAACCCTCCTCTTCGACCGCACCTTCAGTCACCCTACTAACCCCCCACCCTCCCTGACCTCCACCGCTCCTGATCCCAACCCACAGCTTGGGTCCAAATCCCTGATTATCCAACGCTTTGGGACGTCCTCTCGATATATAATAATAATAATAATAATAATAATAATCCTTGCATTTGATATAGCGCTTTTCACGTCGGGAGGACATCCCAAAGCGCTTTACAGAACACACTGTAAAGTGAATTGACTGTATATTTGTGGGCGAACGCGGCAGCCAATTGCGCACAGCAATGTCCCACAAACAGTCGTAGATTGAAAATGACCAATTTATTATTGTTTTTGGTTTTGGAGGGATTATTATTAGGCTCTGTGTGGAGTAAGGAAACTTGCCCAAGGTTTCGCCCTCTGCCTGGAATTGAACTCAGGTCTCTCACTTGCAAAGCGAGTGCTCTAACCACTGAGCTACAGGACTCCACGAAAGGCGCTGTGTAAATGTAAATGTAATGCGTTGTTGGTTTGAGTAACTTGTTGGCTCATGCACTGGGGATGAAAGGATACTCTTCTTCCTGTCGTCGTAGGAGAGACAGGGCAGTACAGCCGTCAGGACCCCCGAGGAATATGGAAGCATCACCCGTCCGGCCAATTGGATAAACTCCCTCATCCACGTCATTGCCGTCAGCTGGATCAAGTCATCTAAGCAAACAGCGGAGGACAAATTGTTACACCAAGGTGACAGAGCACGTGGCTCCCTGTGTACAACACAGGCCTGAGCCCACAGTTACTGTCACCATCAGTCAGAGGGCAGCAGGTACCACTACACGGCAGGATCCACTCAGTGTCATTCCAATCAATACAGCAATCCTTCCACCTTAAGACGTCCTGTCTGAGTGACAGCAAGGGGTAAAGACAGAGTAAAGCTTCCCCTACACTGTGCGCCCACACTCCCAGGTCAGCATTAGAGACACAGTAAAGCTCCCTCTACACTGTGTGTCCACACTCCCAGGTCAGGGGTAGAGACACAGTAAAGCTCCTCTACACTGTGTGTCCACACTCCCAGCTCAGGGTTAGAGACACAGTAAAGTTCACTCAATGTAAGTTAACACAAAAACATTTTCCACACTACACAAGACCTGAGTGAGAGTGACAAGAAGTCAGTGTGACTATGAGTCACATTAGGAACTGGATAAAGTGATCTCAGCTGGAACAGCAGTTGTGGAAGGACCTGCTTGATTGTCAGTAAGTCATGGGGCAACTGTTGACCTTAGGCCGCTTCCCCGGGGGGAAATGACTCAGGGTTTCTGATCCTGATTGGCGTTCAGTGGAGGTGGAGTGGGTGGGTTGGTGTGGGGCTGGGTTGGAGCTGGATCAGGCTCGGGTGTAAAGAGTTGCAACACTCAGTCAATGAGCAGCTATCAGAGAGATTGTGGCTGTGTGCAATTGGCTGCTGCATTTCGCCTACAAAATATAGTCACTACATTTTACAGTATATTCTGTGAAGCGCTTTGAGATGTCTCAAAAGACGCGTTAAGGCTCTATAGCAAATGCAAGAATTATTATTAATCCTGACACCTTTGGAACAAAATACCAGCCAGAGAAAACCCTTCGTGGGGAGGGAGGGAGGGAGGGAGAGGAAAGCTGACAGGGAAAGGCAAAATTAGACTCCTTTCATTGCTGCTGCAAAGCACTCAGGTTGTGAGTTTCTCAGTCCCAGGCTTTGGCTGGACAGGACATGGTGTGAGCAGAGTGTGTGCATGTGCGGGGAGTTGAGGAGTGCAGATACTCACCGGAAGACTGGCAGTGGATGACCAGGATGTTTGCCATTTCGGCAAACTTCACACTGGTGGGATTTTTCTTAATCTCCTTCAGAAACTCCCCCAGTCCCGTCTCACACCTGTCACAAAACAAGAGTGAATGATGTGGTCAGCGCAGACCATCGCAGCCCAGAGGGCACTCCTTACAGTGAATCTACGGCGGATCCTACAAGCGTTTATAACCCACTGATCAACAGCTGCCAGAGGATGGCTGATTTGTCAGCAATAGTGGGGATCCACAACACCAAACACCACTGGTCTGGTCTACGTAGAGTTCTGCCCCTCCAAGTCCTGCCGATGAGCCAGACTGAGCCGTGCCCTGGAATACTGCGGACCAGCGACCGATACCGCCACTGCTATCCTTAAACTGAAGTTGCATTCTTTTGGACAAGTTGTCTTGGAGGGAACAACGCACAGTAATGGTGGCCACTTCTCCCAGACTCACATTTTGCGGATCTCTTTGCTGTTGTCCCCGAGTATCTGGAAAAGCCCATCCAATATCTCAGGCAGGTATTCCAGCAGGTTTATGTCTGGCACACTCTCCAGCACCAGGATCTGAAAGAGAGATCAAGCTGGTAAACGGGTTGAGTCAGGAAGGCAAACAAAGTGGCTGGTACTCACTGAGAACAGAGCTTACACAACATCAAAGGCAATAAATGCTGCAGGGTCTGCACACAGGAAAAGAGCAGACACTGCAAGTGAAAACATGTTCTTTCTTCTTCAGGTGCTGATTGACTCCATTGCACTTCATACAAGATTTACAACTCAACAGAAAGACAGCCTTCGCTGGTGCTCGCTCCCCTACTGGAGCTCTCTACTCCAACCCCATTCCCTGCTCTCTCCCCAGCGTGTCTGTGCTGGTGCTCACTCACCCACTGGAATTCTCTACCCTATCCCCTTTCCCTGCTCTTTCCATGTACTTTCCACATTTTAATATTTTTCACTGTCTTGCTTGCTCCCCACGCCTTCAACATTCCTCCTCTTCCAAACATCAAACTGACTCTAAAAGAATCTACGGGTTCTGTTTCCACAGTGGTGTGTGACCCAGGATTGCACATTCCCCATGTAAGGAATGTTACATGTTACTCAGTACGTTACTCACCCAGGAGATGATGAACTGCCGGGCATACTGATTGTTGGAATAAATGCGTTCCCGCAAGAGAGGGACAAAGACCACGAGATCGAACTTGGAACTTTCCGTCACAATGTCCTGTGAATACGAACGAAAGCAACGCTACATTAGGACCTTGTCACGTTGTCGAGATATCTCAGGATATATAGTGTAAAGAGATGTGACCATGTATCTTGTGGGTGAACGAAGCAGCCAATTTGCACACATCGCTTCAATGTCCCACAAACAGCCGTTATGTATAAGAGCATAAGAATTTGTTGGACGAAAGAAGACCAAGGCCCATCTCGTTCACCTTCCACCAAACTATATTTCCTAAAATAAATCTTATCCAATTTGCTTTTGAAAGAATTAACATGTGCTTTGTTCTTGGTTAGAAGAAGGTTATGCTTGAAGGCTTAGTTGAGGAAGGGCAGGAGGAGGCATATGTGGAGTATAAGCACTGGCATAGACCAGTTGCACCGAATGGCCTGTTTCTGTGCTATATATTCTCATGTATTCTAATATCTAACATTTTCTGCTTCCAACGTCTCCCGAGGGAGCCTGTTCCGTGCCGCATAATTGAATAACAAGCCAATAAATACAAGTTCAGTTATTTCCATGTTGTTTTTCCATTGATCGAGTCGTTGATGTACACCGCACATGCCTTGTGATTCAGATTGGATGTGAAGGGAAACTCCACACTGCTCCTCAATGAATGAACAATAGAACCAGAGAACACGGCCTGCGACTGATGGTGGGGGGGGGGTGAATTCCAAACAAATCTGCAGAAACACTACTTCAGTGAGCGAGTAACGAACTTGTGGAACAGGCTCCCTCGGGAGACAGACAACAACAACAAGATTTCATTTATAGAGCGCCTTTCACGTCGGGAGGACCCCTTAAAGGAGGAAAGGGAGGAGGCGGCGAAGGCACTGGGGGATGGAGTTCCAGAGCCTCGGGGCTGAGAGGCTGAAGGCCCGGCCACCAATGGTAGGGCGGTTGGGGCGGGAGATGTGGAGCAGACCGGAGCCAGAGGAACGGAGGGTACGGGCAGGTAAGTAGGGGGATAGTAGGTCGGAGAGGTAGGAGGGAGCAAGGCCGTGAATGGCCTTGTAGGTGAGGATGAGGATCTTGAATTCGATCCTCTGGGGGATGGGGAGCCAGTGGAGGTGAGCGAGGGTGGGAGTGATAGTGGAGGCGAGCGAGGGTGGAAGTAGAAAATGCTGTTTGTTTCAAGAACAAATGAGATAGATTTCTGCTAGAAAATAATATCTGGGGACACAGTGTATAGTTTGGGGACACAACATGTCAAGTGACTGCCAGGATGGTGGGAGGCGAATTAGATGGATCTTGGTCTTCTTTCTCCAGAAAATTTTTATGTTCATATATACTGGGATGGCATCCTAAGCAGGTCTCAACCTTGACCCAGAATTTTTGAAGCGAATCTACACTCAGGTGACTCAGAACATCTAACCAAGAACAAAGGACATGGATAAAGCTTTACCAAGCTCTCGCTGTTCAAACAGTCACTCTCTGCTGTCTGCAAGTGCTAGTGAGAAGAGCAAGGAGTGAGCCCACACACACACACACAGTCTGTACTTCACAGGGTGATACACACTTGGGATCAGAGGATATAGTCCTGCTGGAAGGATTAAAAACTGGGGCTGTATTTACGGAAGCGGAGATTGCGAGCGGATGTAATAGAAGTGTTGACAATTTAAGAGTGGTTGAGAGGGTAAGTGTTTCCACTGGTTGACGAGTTTATAACAAGAAGACATCAATTACGATTAGTGAACCGTGAAGTGGATGGAAAGAGTAATATTTATATCAATGGTTTATGTGTAAAAACAAGTAACTGTTGAAATCGAGACAATTACAACATTTAAAAAGGAATTAGACAGACATTTAATGAATGAAGATATGGGGGAAAAGGAAGGGAATGGGGTTAGAGAGCTCCAGCAGGAACCAGCACAGACACGATGGGGAGAGAGAGCAGGGAGTGGGGTTAGAGAGCTCCAGCGGGGGAGCGAACCCCAGCACAGACATGATGGGGAGAGAGAGAGAGAGAGAGCAGGGAGTGGGGTTAGAGTAAACAGCTCCAGTGGGGGAGCGAGCTCTAGCAATGGCATTCCATGTGTATCTGAAGCCTTGGAGTCCTGGCCTGATCAGCCGTGTATTTGTTGGGCAGAGAGATGGGAGATTTACCTTTAATAACCGATCCAGCAACTCAGAGCCACTCTTCACATTGGGATCTGGGTCTGCAGCCAACTGTGGACAAACACCGGGAGTCAACACAGGTTAGCACGGGGAAACCAGCAGAGATACAAGGTCTTACCCGTCGCCCTCAGCATCCCCCCCCCATCCAGACTTACTCCCTCCCCTCCCGAATTCAGCCATCCGCTCCCCTGCCCGTCACCATCATCCATCCTCCCCGCCACGGCTAAGAACACCCTCCCCGCCCCCCACCCCCATTCCCCAGCCATTCACACTCCACCCGTGTCATTCGTGCCCCCCGTCAACCCCTTCCCCCACTGTAACCCGTCCTCCCCTCGGCCACCTGCAACCTCCGCCAACCCGTCATCCCACACCTCCATCACTTGGCCCCCACCAGTGCCTCTGCCATTCTCCCCCCACCCAACCCACACGCAGGGTTGAAGGTTACCTTGCTCAGACCATTGAACAGCACGTTGAAGTGAGGAAGGACTGAGCCGCGGGCGACCTTCACAATGTTGTAGAGGGCCTCGCAGGCGTAGTATCGCAGGCGGCTGTCAGAGTCGTTGAAACACGTCAGAACCGGGTCAATCAGCTCCTTCAGATACAAACCCGAGTCCTGCAGCAAAAACACACAGGATGGTCAACACGCTCAGCGCTCTCTCACACCCCCAACGCTCACAGCCCAGCGGAGGAGAAGGGAGTCAACCCCTTCGGGGTAGAAAGGGAAGAAATGTGCACGTAAAACCTCAGCCAAAAACTGCTCTAAAACACTAAGAGGTGGGAATGGTTTTACAGCAACAACGACGACATTGATATGCATTTACTTAGCACAGCCTTCATGCACGGCAGCATCTCGGAGCACTTATCAGTGGCGGAGCCTGATAGTTAGCCGGGGGGAGGTAACCGTAGGCAGGGTCGAAGAGGAAAGTCTTAAAGGGTGATCCAAGGCTCCCTTATTCCCCATTTTTGGATCACGCTTTAAGAGCGTGTTTTATTGGCGGTCACGCTTTCAATCACTTTTGTTCCAAAGCTTTGGGGAGTACTGGTTGAAAGCGTGGCCACCAATGGCGGAGCAGAGGGGACGAGGGACAAGCAGGAGGCCGGGGCTAGCCGAGCGGAGATGGTGGGTGGTAGAGTGGGGAGTGAGGAGGTCGCAGTGGTAGAGAGTGGTTGGGTAACCCTAAGATGAAGCAATAATAATCTTTGCATTTGTTACAGCGCCTTATCACATCTTTGAGACGTCTCAAAGTGCTTCACAGAATATACTGTAAAGTGAATTGACTGTACGTTTTGTGAGTGAAACGCGGCAGCCAATTGTGCACAACAGTGTCCCACAAACAGCATTGGACTGAAGTGACCAAATTATTATTTTTTTAAAGCAATTATTACCCCCAGAAAAGTGATCTGCCAATAGACTAACAACCAGGTTCCTACTCACTGCTGGATAAACGGAGGCGTGTGTGTGGATTAAGGAAACTTGCTCAATGTTCTGCCCTTCCCAGGAATCGATCCCAGGTCCTCTCGATTGCGAGGCGAGGGCTCTAACCATCGAGTCCAATGCTGTGAGTTTGAGAAGGGACCCACCTTGCCCAGAGCGATGGAGCAGGCCGCCAGCCCGATCAGGCCCCCCTTGCGGCTGTGAGGATGCTGTGACAAAGCAAACTCCTGGGACAGCACTTGGATCACGTGTTTGATCTGCCCAATGTTGTTCTGTGCAACAAACTCCCGAACCAGCCTAAACGAAGGAACAGAAATCAAGTTACAACCCACTCACCAGGACATACAGGAAGCCAGCACTGCTCAATGTGCCTCGTTCCTGTAACTCAAGGCGACTGTTAGCGCAGACTGTTTAATAATAATAATCCTTACATTTGATACAGTGCCTTAACACAGTGTTGAGATGTCTCAAAGTGCTTCACAGAATATATCATAAAGTGCAATGGCTATGTATTTTGGGGCGAAACACGAGAGCCAATTCTTTACAACAACAACAATATTACATTTATATAGCGCCTTTCACGTCGGGAGGATGTCCCAAGGCGCTGGACAGTGAACTGCATTTCAGACCCGAGCTGGGGTCAGGGGGGGAGAAGGGAGGGGAGGGGAAGGGGGATGACGAAGAGGAGGGTTTTGAGGCGGGACTTGAAGGAGGCTAAGGAGGGGGTGAGGCGGAGTGATTGGGGGATGGAGTTTCAGAGGTTGGGGGCAGAGTGGCTGAAGGCTCTCCCGCCAATGGGGGGCGGGTGGGTTGGGACACGTGGAGCAGCTGGAGCCGGCTGAGCGGAGGGAGCGGGCGGGTTGGTAGGGGGTTAGGAGGTCACAGAGGTAGGGTGGGGCGAGGCCATGGAGGGCTTTGTAGGTGAGGACCAGGATCTTGAACTGGATCCTCTGAAGGATAGGGAACCAATGGAGTCGGGCGAGAGTGGGGGAGTGGGGGAGATGGGGTCACGGAGTTTGGTGCGGGAGAGGACATGGGCTGCAGAGTTCTGGATTATCTGCAGCTGTGGAGGGAGGAGTTGGGAAGGCCGACAAGCAGGGAGTTTGCATAGTCGAGCCTGGAGGTGATGAAGGCATGAACAAGAGTTTCAGCGCCTGAGGGGTGAGATAGTGGTGGAGTCGGGCGATGTTACGGAGGTGAGGGAAGGCAGAGCGGGTCATGGCTTGGATGTGGAGAAAAGACAGTTGAGGGTTGAACAAGACACCTCAATTCCTGACTGGCTGGTGAGTTGTAGTGCAGTATACAACAGTGTCCCACAAATAGTTCTGGATTGAGTGACCCAATTATTTTTGTGGAGGAATTATTAACCTGGAAAGTAATCTGCCAATCAAATAATAACCGGGTTCTACTTACTCCTCGGTAAACAGAGGCATGTTTGTGGAGTAAGGAAATGATTTGCCCTGAGCGGGAATCGACCACGTGTCCTCTCAATTGCGAGGCGAGTGCTCTAACCACTAAGTTACAGGATGTAACAATTCTTAATGTATTTATTTCACATAGTAAATTTGCAGTTGGGTGACTGCTGTGCTGGCTAACAGAGCAGCTGATCTGTCACCAACAACCCTTTGGCATCACTCCTCAACCAATTAATCTGATTTGTTTTGGTGCCATTGAATCTAATGTCCACCACAACAGGCAGATGGCACCTCCAACAATGCAGCACTCGCCCAGCGCTGCCCTGGAGTGTGAACCCCACATCTCTGACCCAGCGGCGAGAGTGCCTGACCGAGCCAATGTGATGTACACTGTACTACTGATCTAGCATCCTGGCTCAGTGGTAGGGCTCTCGCCTCGGTGTCAAAAGGTTCTGGGTTCAAGCCCCACGTGAAGACTTGGGATCACATAGTCTAAGCTGCCACTCCAATACAGCGCTGGGGAGGTGTTCCATTGTCAGAGGCGCCGTCCTTCGGATCAGACATTAAACTGAGGTCCCGTCTGCCTGTTCAGGTGGATGTTAAAGATCCTGTGGCGCTATTCCAAAGATCCTGTTTCTCTCTCCCGGTGTCCTGGCCAACAATCCCCCAAATAAAATTGGTCACTTACTCTGTGGCTGTTTATGGGACACTTCTGTGCACAATTCGCTGCTGCATTTGCCTGCGTCCTATGAAGTGCTTTGAGGCGTCCTTCTGATGTGATAATTATAATAATAACCCTTGTATTTGATACAGCGCCTTATTACGTCATTGAGACGTCTCAAAGCACTTCACTGAATACGCTGTAAAGTGAATTGATGATATACTTTGTGGGCAAAACGCAGCAGCCAATTGCGCACAGCACTGTAAGCACTATCCCAAATGCAACGATTATTATTATTATTAATTCTCCTCTCAGATATGGTAACTTTGTCATTGATAGCTCTCACTCAGCAAAAGACACACTGATTCCATCAGCGTCACACGTTTGACTGTTTGGTATCGATAGTTGATTGGATTCACATGATGCACATCAAGGGCAGTGTCACAGACACCCGGGATCAACCCGAAACTTTACTTACCCCAAACCACACACAGACACAGCAAATACCACAACACAGACTCATTGGGTCCAATCCACACAAGTTAAAACCACAGGAGTGTGAAATCTGCCGGTACAGGAACTGAAAGGTGGCACAAAACTAAAAACGAAACAAGGTGTTTATCGGCCCTTGACCTCAAGAGGGATATGTTGCATTTCATCAGGAAACTGAGGAGTGAGTTTTAGTTAGTTTCTCAACAAGCGGTTGCTCGCTTCGTGCCGTCTGTGGTTGTGTCTGAGAAGCAATCTCCCAGACTCCACCCTCCAGCCTTCCCAACAGCACACACTGCAGACAACCATCACCCCTCCAGCACATCACAGACAACAGTTATTTCTTCTGTCCCACAAACAGCCATAAAACGAATGACCATTTTATTTGAGGGGATTGTTGGCCAGGACACCGGGAGAGAGAAGCACATAGTCCTGCAGGATCTCAAACATCCAACAACAACTTGGATCCAGGTAAACAGGCAGACAGGACTTCAGTTTAATGTCTCATCCAAAGGATGGTACCTCTGACGATCCAAACCCCCACCCAACCCAACCCCCGACCCACACCCACCCCCGGCTCCCCCACTGCAGCAATGGAATGTCAGTTTAAACTACTAACTTCCAATGTGGGACTTGAACCACAACCTTTTGCCTGAGAGGCAAAAGCGCTATCACTGTACCAGTCTCTCTGTAACTTCTGCTTCAGAACGACTGGGTGCAACTTTCCTTATGTAATTGAAGGGTGGGGGGGGGGGCTGTCCACAAATAATTGGGCTCACGCTGAGTGGGACCTCTGCCCTCACACTAACTCTGACCGGCCATTCCGCAGCCTTTGACGGGATGAGTGAGAGGTAACTTGGGATTGTGCACATCCCTCCATTGATAAAAGATAAGGATGAAGACTTGACGGTTCAACACTCGTTAAGAATCCGGTAGATTTTCAGATCTAGACGTCAGCGCGGCTTCAAATGCTGTGTCTGTCGAGAATCGAGCCCAGATCCTCTCGCTTGGAGATGAGTGCTCTAATCACTGAGCTACAGGACTCCACAGCAAATATATATATATATATATAGTGAAATGGTGTCAATAAATATCTTACTTCTCAATCTCGAGGGCGGCCACTTTCCTCTTCTCATAAAGCTTGTCGTTCAGAGCCCGAACAATGTTGGGCGTGAGGGGCGCAAAGTCCTTCTCTGTGTTCATCCTGGCGACTGGAGGGCCCTGATCAGCTCATTCACAGGGAGGGAACCAGGCAAACGCGATCTGGGGAGATACAACAACAACAACAAGATTACATGTGTATAGCGCCTTTCATGTCGGGAGGACGTCCCAAGGCGCTGGACAGTGACAGCGTTTCAGACCCGAGCTGGTGTCAGGGGAGGGAGAAGGGAGGGGAGGGGAAGGGGGGTGGCCGATGACATGGTCAAAGAGGAGGGTTTTGAGGCGAGACTTGAAGGAGGCTAAGGAGGGGGTGAGGCAGAGTGACTGGGGGATGGAATTCCAAAGGTTGGGGGCAGAGTGTGTGGGGATGTGACCAAAGGAACGGGTCAAAGAGGAGGGTCTTGAGATGGGTCTTAAAGGAGGTGTGGCAGGGAGCGAGGCTGAGGGGCTCTGGGATGGAGTTCCAAAGGGTGGGGGCAGAGAGGCTGAAGGCCTGGCTGCCAATGGTGGGCGGGCCGGGCGGGGGCAGGCCAGGGCTCGCTGAGCGGACAAGGGGTGGGGGAGGAGCATGACCGTGGAGGGCTTTGAAGGCAAGGACGAGGATTTTGAACTCTATCCTCTGGGGGATGGGGAGCCAGTGAAGCCGGGTGAGGGGGGGGGTAGATGGGGTCATGGCGCCCGGTGCGGGAGAGGACTCGAGCTGCAGAGTTCTGAATAATCAGCAGATTGTGTTGGGAAGAGTTGGAAAGTCTGGGAGCGCGGACTTTATACAGTCGAGCCTGGATGTAATGAAGGTATGATGAGGGTCTCGGCCTGAGGGGAGTCGGGCGATGTTGTGGAAGGCAGACGTGTGGGGTTTAAAGGACAGTCTCGCCACACACCCCTGGGCTGAACCCTCGGGGCTGTTTTTCTCAACCTGAGCTCTGTCAACCCCCCCCCCCCCACCGCTCTCTCTCTACATACACCTGGTCTGTATCTGTGTGTGTGTGTGTGTGTCTCTGTGTCTCTTGTTTGTCAGTCTCTGTGTACTTGCTCTCTGCTCTCTCTCTCTCTGTATCTCTCCTTCTCCCCGGTGTCTGTGTCTCTCTCTGTCCGTTTGTTTTCTCTCTATACCGGTCCCTATGTGACACTGTGCTCAGGCTCTCCCTCTCTCTGTATCTGCTCTGCACGTGTGAGTGAGTGTGGGGGTGGGGGGAGGTGATGAGGTCAGTGTCTGTGTCTCTCTGTACCATCTCTGTCTGTTCGGGAGACCCCGGTACCCAGTGTGTGTGTGTGTGTGTATCTCAGTCTGTGTCATTACCCGTGTAATGCTGTGTGTCAGTGTGTGTGTCAGTGTGTCAGGGTGTGTGTGTGTGTGTATCTGTGTGTATGCGTGTCAGGGTGTGTGTGTCAGGGTGTGTGTGTCAGGGTGTGTGTGAGGGTGTGTGTGTGTGTCAGGGTGTGTGTCAGGGTGTGTGTGGGTGTGTGTCAGGGTGTGTGTGTCAGGGTGTGTGTGTCAGGGTGTGTGTGGGTGTGTGTCAGGGTGTGTGTGTCAGGGTGTGTGTGTCAGGGTGTGTGTGGGTGTGTGTCAGGGTGTGTGTGTCAGGGTGTGTGTGTCAGGGTGTGTGTGTGTATCTGTGTGTATGTGTGTCAGGGTGTGTGTGTCAGGGTGTGTGTGTCAGGGTGTGTGGGTGTGTGTCAGGGTGTGTGTGTCAGGGTGTGTGTGTCAGGGTGTGTGTGGGTGTGTGTCAGGGTGTGTGTGTCAGGGTGTGTGTCAGGGTGTGTGTGTGTGTGTCTGTGTGGGTGAGTGTCAGTGTGTGTGGGTGTGTCTGTGGGTGTCAGTGTGTGTGTGTCAGTGTCTGTACCTGGAGCCGCCATATTGTAGGTCACAAGACACGGTCAGACCCGAGCAGCCGATCCCGGAGCGGTCAGACCCGAGCAGCCGATCCCGGAGCGGTCAGACCCGAGCAGCCGATCCCGGAGCGGCCAGACCTGACCAATCCTCAGGTCTCCTCACTGCACAGTCACAGTCACTACACATACAATCACTACACTTACAGTCACTATACTACACACAGTCACTACACTACACTCAACAACAACAGGATTCCATTTATAGAGCGCCTTTCACGTCGGGAGGACGTCCCAAGGCGCTGGACAGTCAGGTCAGGACCTGAGCAGTGGGGGGAAATGGTCAGGGTGAGGGGAGGGAAGGGAGGGAGCGAGGAGGGGTAGAGAGTCGAGAGGGAGCTGAAGGCTCGGTCAAAGAGAAAAGGTTTTGAGACCGGCCTTGAAGGAGGAAAGGGAGGATGTGGTGAAGGCACTGGGGGATGGAGTTCCAGAGCCTCGGGGCTGAGAGGCTGAAGGCCCGACCACCGATGGTAGGGGCGGTTGGGGCGGGGGATGTGGAGCAGACCGGAGCCAGAGGAACGGAGGGTACGGGCAGGTAGGTAGGGGGATAGTAGGTTGGAGAGGTAGGAGGGAGCAAGGCCGTGAATGGCCTTGTAGGTGAGGATGAGGATCTTGAAATCGATCCTCTGGGGGATGGGGAGCCAGTGGAGGCGAGCGAGGGTGAGGGCGAGGGTGAGGGCGAGGGTGAGGGCGAGGGTGAGGGTGAGGGCGAGGGTGAGGGCGAGGGTGGGAGTGAGGGCGAGGGTGGGAGTGAGGGCGAGGGCGAGGGTGGGAGTGATGTGGTCGCGGTGTCTGGTGCGGGACAGTACACGAGCTGCAGAGTTCTGAATGACCTGCAGTGTGGAGGGAGGTATCGGGAAGGCCGGCGAGGAGAGAGTTCCCATAGTCCAGCCTTGAGGTGATAAAGGCGTGGACCAGAGTTTCAGCCGCGTGAGGGGTGACACTACACACAGTCACTACACTCACAGTCACTACACTCACAATCACAAATACACACAGTCACTACACTCACAGTCACTACACTCACACAGTCACCCACTCACTGCACTTGCACAGTCACTACACACACACGCCTGTGTCCACAGCAGTTGTAGGAACCCGGTTATTAGTCGATTGGAGGATCACTTTCCGGCGCTAATAATCCCTTCAAAATAATAATAATAATAATTTGGTCACTTCACCCCACGACTGTTTGTGGGGACATCACAAAACACACAGTCACTACACTTTACAGTGAAGCGCTTTGAGAGGTCTCGAAGACGCGATGAGTCAAATGTAAGGATTGTTATCGTTATCCTCTTCCGCGGCGCTGCTCCGCGGCCCCTCACATCAGTGACCAGAGATACGGTCTGAACACACATTGATCTATCCCGGACCCCCCCCCCAACCCCCACCCCCCGCCCACCCCTCCCATCCCCAGAGCCCTCTCCCATCCCCAGCGACCTCTCCCATCCCCAGAGACCTCTCCCATCCCCAGAGACCTCTCCCATCCCCAATGACCTCTCCCATCCCCAGCGATCTCTCCCATCCCCAGCGACCTCTCCCATCCCCAATGACCTCTCCCATCCCCAGAGACCTCTCCCATCCCCAGAGACCTCTCCCATCCCCAATGACCTCTCCCATCCCCAGCGATCTCTCCCATCCCCAGCGAACTCTCCCATCCCCAGAGACCTCTCCCATCCCCAATGACCTCTCCCATCCCCAGCGATCTCTCCCATCCCCAGCGACCTCTCCCATCCCCAATGACCTCTCCCATCCCAGCGACCTCTCCCTCCCCAGCGACCTCTCCCATCCCCAGCGATCTCTCCCATCCCCAGCGACCTCTCCCATCCCCAATGACCTCTCCCATCCCCAGCGACCTCTCCCATCCCCAATGACCTCTCCCATCCCCAGCGACCTCTCCCATCCCCAGCGACCTCTCCCATCCCCAGCGACCTCTCAGACCCAGAGACCTCTCCCATCCCCAATGACCTCTCCCATCCCCAGCGACCTCTCCCATCCCCAGCGACCTCTCCATCCCCAATGACCTCTCCCATCCCCAGCGACCTCTCCCATCCCCAATGACCTCTCCATCCCCAGCGACCTCTCCCATCCCCAATGACCTCTCCCATCCCCAGAGACCTCTCCCATCCCCAATGACCTCTCCCATCCCCAGTCGGATAAACTGGGGCCCAGAGACTGGCACACATATAGACCCCCAGACACCGGGCACCCCTTCTCCCCATCACTACAACACAGAGAGACCCCCCCACACCCATACACTGACACCCTTCACCCACCCCTCCCAACGTTATCGTCTAACAAGCACTTGCACTATAACACCACACACCAAATCACCCCAATGGCCAACAGCCACGAGTTGCTCTGTGAGCTCAGCCCAATGATGCTTCACATTGGAGCAAATTTCGATTGTATAAAAATGGTGAGTATTGTAACGGTACAACTACGAGTTATATTTACCCAGCGGCTTTCACGTCGGGGGGACGTTCCAAGGCGCAAGACAATCAGGGATTTGGACCCAAGCAGGGGGGTTGGGATCAGGAGGGGTTGGCAGGCAGGGAAGGCAAGGGGTAGGAGGGTGGCCAAAAGCGTGGTCAAAGAGAAGGGTCTTGAGAGCATCGTACGGGAGGGAGCTTTGCTGATTTAATTCCCCCTACTCTCCACCCTCCCCGATCCCGACCCCCAGCTCGGGTCCAAAACACTGATTGTCCAGCACCTTGGGACTTCCTCCCAACTCAAAAGGCTCTATACACATGTAATGCTGTTGTTGTTGGGTCTGGGTCTCCGTTGGAGCTCTGTCTAACAGCGTCTTCAGTAAACATCCTCAAACCTCACCCACATCCTCTCTGGAAAGTGTGGCTTTTTTTGTGCAGTCGGGTGTCTGACGCACCTGGAAACCCGTCGCTGTGTTTAAGAGCCTCCAAACTGAACTGAGAGTTACATATCCCACCTATACATGGAAATCCCAGACACACACCCTGCTTACCTAATTCCGGAAAGTATTAAGCGCAGGTTGGAAAGAGTCAAGGCTTGGAGACCCCAGAGTGTGCGTCGGGGTAACTGTTGGGAGTCTAACCAGCTAAAACCCCACAGCTTGGCCATTGATATCACTGTCTGGCCAAGCTTTCCCGCTGCTTGTCCAGCGAGGACCACCCTCTCCGTTAGGGCTTTGGCTGCGGGGTTAACAGGAGCTGAGTGGAAGGACTCTCTGCCCCCATGTTGCTGTTGTTGTAATTGTGAATTGATTTAAAGTTTACTGAAATAACAACTTGCACTTCAGACAGCACCTTTGATGCTCATTACCAAGGTCGGTTGGGAGCTCGAGCAGAGAGAGGGGACACTGGGGTCGGAGGAGAAGTGTAACCAACCTTGAAGGCTGAGGTGGTAGGTCAGTTACAAAAAGCAGGTGACCAGGAATTAAACTGGAGGTTTCATGCAGTCACTACTTGCTAGTGACTGACCGCACAATAAGTCCATCGTAACCCCCGAGGGAATGATTTATAAAATGGTGAGTGATGGTACGAGAGCATTTGCTGATTTCATTCCAGTGGATCAACTTAATTTGGGAGTGAGCTCCAGAGTGTGGGTGGGGGTTACAGTGGCTGAAAGCTGACCCAAGGATGGGATGGAGGGGACAAGGAATAATAATAATAATCCTTGCATTTGACACAGAGCCTTATCATGCCTTCAAGACGTCTGAAAGCGCTTCACAAAACGTACTTTAAAGTGTAGTGACTGTGGATTTTGTGGTCGAAATGCAGCAGCCAATTGCGCACAGCAGCGTCCGACAAAGTCTTGGATCGAATGACCAATTTTTTAAAAAATATACAAATAAACAGCATTGTAGAGTCCAGGTTTGCTTCTCCGTCTTTGTGTCTGTTTTTCCTTTTCGGAATCTCCAAAATGCTGAACAATTATTCCCCAACTGTGACCCTTTGGGTTTATTTATGGCAGCACCGCTGATGTTTCCCCCAGTGTTTGTGTCCTGCGGAGTGCCTGATCTCCACCAAGTGAAACCTCATATTGAAGGGCCCTGAATTGTTCTGGAGTTTTTCTCTCTCTCACTGGAGGTGACTGAATGACCAGCCACGTGCCTGGCACGTGGAGAGATGTGTGGGGACTATCTTGAAGGGAGATGGAGATGGGCTGGGGCGACATCTGAGAATTTTTGGGGGGCCCTTCCTGTCTATGTATGTAACAGAAAGAGAGGGAGGAAAATAATAATCCTTTCATCCACCACTGGGAGAAGTCACAAAGCGCTTCACGGGATTTACTGTTACGTGTAGTGACTGTCTTTTGTAGGCAAACACAGCTTCTTTCTTGTTATTCCTGGCTTAAAATCAGCACCTGTGGATGTGCGTTGCCCCATCATAGAATTATACAGCACAGAAGGAGGCCATTCAGCCCTTTGAAAAGACCTGGGACACTTACATCCCAACTTGAAGTAAACGCAAGTCAGGAGATAGGAACAGAAGCACAGCTCAATACTGTGCACCTGACCAGGTAAATGGTGGGAATAAAACAACAGTCTCTTGTTGCTGCAAAGTTCCCACTGATGGACCGAGGAGAGGTGAGCACCAACTGGTCCAAGTGTCAGAGGCAGCACTACAAAAAGTCACCACCTCAGAAAAAAGTTTTAAAGGATTGAAAATCGTGAAGCACTTTGTTGAACGAAAGGTTATCAGGTTGTTGAGACGTCTCAAAGCCCTTCGCAGGATATATTGTAAAGTACAGTGGCTGTGTACTTTGTGGGCAAAACAATTATAAAGTAGCTTTGTGAGAGGATCCAGAATTTGGCAAGTGGTTGGATTAAATCTTAACTCTGAAGCCGTTTTTTCTGTTGCTTCTTAGAAGAAATTGTAAAATTCTGAACCAACAATAACTTGTGTTTATTTAGTGTCCTTCAGGCAGGATAGCGCCTCAGAGCACTTAATGCCACAGAGAGAAAATCTATCCCAGGTGATTCAAAGTCATGAGCATCAAAGGGACCAAAAAGATGTTCAGGGCGTTTTTATTAAACATTTTTATTACAAGACAAACTTTTTACTAAGTTAGAACTTATTACAAATGGATAGATATTATGACAAGTACAAAAAGAAATGGCTGAAACATTCAAGGATGAATCTGATCACAGAGAGTGTCGTTCGTGTCTGTCTGTCGTCAGCAGAGCCACAGCATGGGGAAGATTGAGAATAAACCGGCAGGCGACAGGGGAAACTAGCTCAGCACTATCAGCACCAACTAGTCACCTCCGCTACTCAGAGGTCAATAATTGTCCCCTCACACGTGTGTGCAGATGTGTGTGTGAAGGCTTCTCGAGCTCGTAGCGTGTAGGAACAGGCAGTGGTTGTCAACCTTGGCCCACAGGCCGAGTCTGCCCCCCCACTCCCCCCTCTGAAAATACTCACTAGTCTGGGTAAGTCTGTGTTTGTTTCCAGTAGCCACTGAGTAGCCATATCCCATAAAACCATAAGACGCAGGAGTAGGCCATTCAGCCCCTCCAGCCTGCCCTGCCATTTAATAAGATCATGGCTGATCTTCTAACCTCATTCCATTTACCCGCCCGATCCCCATATCCCTTAATCCCTCTATCCTTTAGAAATCTATCGACCTCAGTCTTGAACATATTCAAGGACTGAGCATCCACCGCCTCTGGGGTAGAGAATTCCACAAATTCACTGCCCTCTGAGTGAAGAAACTCAGTTCGAAAAGACTGACCCTTAATTCTGAGACTATAACCCCTAGTTTTTAGATTCTCCACCAGGGGAAACAGTCTCACGGCATCTACTCTGTCAAGACCCTTAAGAATCTTATAGGTTTCTATAAGATCACCTCTAATTCTTCTATATTCTAAATATAGGCCTAGTTTACTCGATTGACCATCACTGATCTACGTCTCAATGGGCTTGGGTTTGGTGTCCAGGATGGAGTCAACCACAGTTCCCCCCCCATTAGCTGTATAAATCCTCTCACCACTAACTCCGACACACAACAAGAACAACTTCATAAAAAAAATAATCCTTTGATCTGCCACTGGGAAGACATCTCAAAGCGCTTTGTGAGATTTGCTGCTACATGTAGTGACTGCCTTTTGTAGAAGAACACACACTTATACAGCTTCTTGTGAAATTGAGTCACTTGTGGGGGAGGGGGTGAAGGGGAAATCAAAGGAATGGGCTTTTTTTTTACAAGGGTTTTGAAACAGAGGGGTGGGGGGGGGCAAGGGGATTGAGTCAGACAGTTCCAAAGTGGCTGAGAACAGGGAGCAGAGCAGAGGGAGGGGGCGAGGGAGTAGGAAGACAGGAGATCAGAGGTTGGGTGAAGGGCGTTGGTAGGGGGGAAATGGTGCGGAGCCAGTCTGGGGGGTAAATTCTACAAAGCTCAGAAAACCCTAAACCCAAGTCAAGCACATGTGCAAAACAGCCAATTTACTCTCGTTGACCATTCACTTAAAAAATGTATCGTGAGGGGGGAATCCAGTTGTCTCAAAGCTTTGTGGACGAAAAGTGGCAGCTCACTTGCTCTCAGCAGCGTCCCACAAACAGTCACTACCTCAGCCCAGACAAGCCAAGATATTCAGGACCTCAAAAATGAGCCTCAGGCAGAAGTCCTGCTGGCAGCCCCCACCAGGAGAGCCTGCGAGCTCCCCGCTTACTGCCCGCTCAGACCCCCATCCCTCAGGAGCCGAGAGGGATCAACCTCCCAGCGAGAGCCTCCGAGGCTCATTGATGAAGGCAGTTGTGGGAAGTTACTGGGCTCACACGGCGCAAACCAGGGACGAGACCCGGGATGTGGAAGAGGAGCTCCTTACAACAATCCTTGAGTTAAGAGCCTACGGATGTCAGGACATCTCACACCATCTCAGGGAACAGCAGTGACTGGGCATTTGTAGGCAAACGCAGCAGCTGATCTGCACTCAAGATGTGAAGTGAAGAGACATGTGAATGTGGGACTTTGAGAGCTGGCGGAGACGATGGCTAACCTGTTATATTGAGTAGCAAAAGGACTCTCAAGTCACACAGCCATGTCAGTGTTGGGCAGTGCTGGGGGGGGAGGTGAACCGGTTTAACAACCACAGCACGATGGGGGAGGAGAGGAGATGAAGGAGAGAGAGAGAGAGAGAGGGAGAGAGAGAAAGGAGTTACGAGGAGTCCTGGGTGTTGGGTTCAGGGTTGGGCTGTGTTGGGCTGAGGGTCGGGCTGTGTTGGGCTGGGGGTCGGGCTGAGGCTAGGGCTGTGTCGGACTGAGGGTTGGGCCGAGGGTCAGGCTGAGCTGGGCTGGGGGTTGGGCTGAGGGTCGGGCTGTGTCGGGCTGAGGGTTGGGCTGAGGGTCAGGCTGAGCTGGGGGTTGGGCTGAGGCTCGGGCTGTGTCGGGCTGAGGGTCAGGCTGAGCTGGGCTGAGGGTCGGGCTGAGTTGGGCTGAGGCTCGGGCTGTGTCGGACTGAGGGTTGGGCTGAGGGTCGGGCTGAGCTGGGCTGAGGGTCGGGCTGAGCTGGGCTGAGGGTCGGGCTGAGCTGGGCTGAGGGTCGGGCTGAGCTGGGCTGAGGGTCGGGCTGAGCTGGGCTGAGGGTCGGGCTGAGTTGGGCTGAGGGTTGGGCTGAGCTGGGCTGAGGGTCGGGCTGAGCTGGGCTGAGGGTCGGGCTGAGCTGGGCTGAGGGTCGGGCTGAGCTGGGCTGAGGGTCGGGCTGAGTTGGGCTGAGGGTCGGGCTGAGCTGGGCTGAGGGTCGGGCTGAGTTGGCTGAGGGTCGGGCTGAGCTGGGCTGAGGGTCGGGCTGAGCTGGGCTGAGGGTCGGGCTGAGCTGGGCTGAGGGTCGGGCTGAGCTGGGCTGAGGGTCGGGCTGAGCTGGGCTGAGGGTCGGGCTGTGGCGGGCTGAGGGTCGGGCTGAGCTGGGCTGAGGGTCGGGCTGAGCTGGGCTGAGGGTCGGGCTGTGTCGGGCAGGCCCTGGGGTGGCTGCAGGGACTTGGGCCTGTGTCTGTGTCTATCCCCATGTGAAGCTCCGGCTGCTCTTGGCGTCTGATCTCAGTGACGGTCTGTCTCCCCTGTGACCTTCTCACTCACTGCAAAACAGAGAGAAAGCAATGGGTCAGTTCAAGGAGCGGTCAACACAGTTGTGAGGTAAGGGGCAGCGAGAGCAAGGCATCCCGGAGAGGGAGTGAGGAGGGGAGGAAGTGAGGAGAGGGAGTGAGGAGGGGAGAGAGAGTGAGGGAGGGAGGAGGGGATCGAGGAGGAGAGGAGGAGAGAAAGGAAGAAAGGAGGGAGTAAGGGTAGCGATGGAGGGAGTGTAGAAGGTGGTGATGGAGAGAGAGAGGGAGGGAGGGAGGGAGGGAGGAGAGCGGCGATGGAGTGGAAGACAGTGATGGAAGCAGCGCGAAGAGCAGTGACAGAGGGAGTGCGGAGAGCGGTGACGAGAGGGCTGGAGCTGGGGTAAAGCAGTGGTGTTAAGCACGGTGTGTGTCTCACTAGCAGGCCCTTGCTGTCCGCTGTACTCTCCTCACCTCACCTCAATCCCCCAGCGCCCGTAACTCAGCAACGCAATTCTACCGCAATCCCTATCCGGATTTGTCTGCTGACAAACTGGATCCCGTGCCCCCTTCCCATCCCCGGACGGAAGGGGGCATGGGATCCGGTTTGTCAGCAGAAAAATCCGGGGCAAGTCGGATGGACCAGGCTCTGTGACCCTATCACCCCCCATCCTCGCCCGACTCCACTGGCTTCCCATCACACAGAGGATACAGTTCAAGATCCTGGTCCTCACCTTCAAAGCCCTCCATGGTCTTGCTCCTCCCGACCTCTGCCACCTCCTGATCCCCTACCATCCTGCTCACTCCCTCCGCTCAGCGGGCTCTGGCCTGCTTCATGGCCCCCGCCTCGCTCGCCCCACTATTGACGGATGGGCCTTCAGCCACTCTGCCCCCACCCTCTGGAACTCCATCCCGCAGTCCCTCCACCTCACCCCCTCCCTCGCCACCTTCAAGACTCGTCTCAAGACCCTCCTCTTCGACTGCGCTTTTGGTCACCCTCCTTCCCCCCCCCTCACCACTCGAACATAAACACCCATCCAGCCATAAACACCCACCTGACCATAAACACCCACCTGGCCATAAACACTCACTCGACCATAAACACCCACCTGACCATAAACCCACCCGACCATAAACACCCACCCGACCATAAACACCCACCCGACCCTAAACACCCACCCGACCCTAAACACCCACCTGACCCTAAACACCCACCTGACCATAAACACCCACCTGACCATAAACACCCACCTGACCATAAACACCCACCTGACCATGCTGTTTACAGGCGCTGCTTCTACTGAGTGTCGGGAGTATCTGAAGTGTGATTATTCATCTAGAGAGAGAGAGAGAGAGGAGGAGAGGGAGAGGGAGATGAGAAGGAATGGAAAAGTGAGTTACTTTAGAGAGGAACTCGGACACAATTCTCCTGATCTCAGTTTGATGGATGGCGGACGGACGGACATACAGAGGGACAGGCAAACACACAGCCTTTTAACGTGGCACAGGATTGTGGGCGAGTTTTCACTCAGAAGCCTTTTCCGCAGTTTCGTAACAATAATGTGTGTTTATGCAGTACTTTCATTGGGGCAGGGGGCAGTCTCCCGCTTGATCAATCGTGTGTGTGTCTGTGTTTGTATTTCTCCAAGGGAATGTGTGTGTGTTGTGTGGTCTGAGCGAGTCTGAGGGTCTGTGTGTGATTGTCTGTCTGTCTCTGAGCAAGTGTCTCTGAACATGTGTGTGTGATCAAGTGTGTCTCTGACTGTGCGTGAGTGTGTCTCTGAGTGTGTGTGTCTTTCAGTGAGTGTGTATCTGAGTGAGTGTGAGGATGAGCGACCCTGTCTCAGATTGTGTGAATGAGGGACTGTGTGTGTGTCTGTGAGTGAGTGTGTCTGGGCAAACCTGTCTCTGAGTGAGTGTGTGAGTGAGCGAGTGTGTGTTTCGCTTGGTTGCTGATGTTCATCGCTGTAACCATTCATAATGACCTGGAATGAGGGGCTGGGATTATTTTGATTGCGAGTCACTGATTTCAGAAGAGGAGAGAGAGAGAGAAAGCCAGAGAGAGATCAGGAGAGAGCTTCTGAGTGTCTATACACAATGCTTGTCCACTGCTCTCCATGTCTGTAAATTAACTTTTTTGTTTAAAATGAATCCCACATTCCAGCTCTCTCCTCACAATCTTTTTCCTGCTCAGGACTTTATCCAGTTATTAACACTGAACGAGTCTATAGAGCCAACCAAGCAACCGGTGGGAACGACTCAGAGATTTGACTAAAGCCTCTGTGTGAAGCTGGTCAATGACAACTCGATCATTGGAAAAGCCGGATGATCAGATGTAGGGTTAGGGTTAGGGGATCTGCAGGGGATGAGGGAGGGTTGACGAGCAGAATAATAATAATCCTTGCATTTAATATAGCGCCTTATCACATCTTCGTATTGACTGTATGTTTTGTGGGTGAAACGCGGCAGCTAATTGTGCACAGCAGCGTCCCACAAACAGTTGTGGATTGAGTGACCAGATGACTTTTTTTTTTGATTTTTTTTGAGGGATTATTACCCCCGGAAAAGCGATTGGACGATCGACTAACAACCGGGCTCCTACTTATTGCTGGGTAAACAGAGGCACGTGGAGGGAGGAAACTTGCCCAACGTTTCGCCCGCCCGCCCGCCTGGGAATCGAACCCAGGTCACTCTCGCTTGTGAGGTGAGCGATGTGACCACTGAGCTACAGGACTGCATAAGGCAGGTAGTTAGAGTAAAGGGAGTGGCTGGGGCAGTACAGACAGAGGAGATGGCAGGAGGCTGAGAGGGTGAGGGTGTGGGTGCGAGTGCCGGGGGGGGTGCGGTTGGGGGGCAGTGGGGTGGGGGGTTGTCGGGTGGCAGTGCGGGGGGAGTGATGGTGAAGGACGCTCCACTCTTACCAGCTCGTCCGTGCCTTCCTCATCGGAATCGTCATCCACCCCTTCCCCCTCCTCCAGGGCTTCCTCTCCCTCCAGTTCCCCGCCATCCACTGTGTCCCCCTCCGTCTGCTCATCCGTGGTCCCATCGTCCACGGCCCCCTCCTCGCTGTTACGCTCTGTGGTCGCCACACGCTCTGCCTTTGGCTCTGCAAAACCACAGTCATTAGCACCGGCCCCTCAGCAAAGACCCCCCCCTCCCTCTCCCCAATCACCCGCACTCTCTCCATCTCCCCTCATATCGTCTCTCCCCTCTCTCTCTCACACACAATCTCTCTCTCTCTCTCTCTCTCTCTCTTTCTCTCACACACTCACTCTCTCAGACACACACTCTCTCTCACACACACTCTCTCAAACACCACTCTCACACACTCTCTCTCTCACACACACTCTCTCATACACATACTCTCTCATACACACACTCTCACACTCTCTCTCACTCTCTCACACACTCTCTCACTCTCACACACATTCTCTCACACACACTCTCACAGACACTCTCTCACACTCTCTCACACACACTCTCACTCTCACACACATTCTCATAATAATAATCCTTGCAGTTGATATAGCGCTTTATCACGTCGTTGAGACGTCTCAAAGCGCTTCACAGGCTATACTGTAAAGTGAATTGACTGTATATGTTGTGAGCGAAATGCGACAGCCAATTACGCACAGCAGTGTCCCACAAACAGCTGTGGGTTAAGTGACCAAATTATTATTCATTCCCCCCCTCATCACTGTCTGAGGCTCCTCGCCCCAGCACTGCACTGCGGTGTCAGCTTAGACAATGTGATTCAAAACCCGACTTGGGGCTTGAATCCACAACCTTCTGACTCAGCTTTACCACTGTACCAGGTAACACCCCCCCCACCTTCCCCACTCCCCCCGCCCCCCGCCTGGTGAGGCATTGGGTCAGGAGCAGGTCTGATTCTGCACTGAGTGGCTGATCACAGCCGGGGCAATAGCAAGCCCTGGGTTAGGGGAGAGGAAGACAACCGACGAGTACTGGGTGAGGATGGGGTCAGTGACGTCTCTGCCACCCGTTGGGGCGGCTAACCCGAGGGCGAGGCCTGTGTGGGGGGGAGGGGGGAGGGGGCGAGGACAGTGGGGAGGGGGGAACTGTAGCCCAGTGGCCACCGGAGAGCAGGAAGAGAGAAACATTATGAATGTTACAGAATGGCCTTTCTGATGGCGATGGAGCTGGGACCGACCCCTGGGCTTCAGTGTAAAGCAAACGCACTGTATAACACAGTAACACAGGGCTCCACCATACAACAACAACAACAGCATTACATGTGTAAAGCGCCTTTCACACCGAGAGGACATCCCAAGGCACTGGATAATCAGTGTTTCGGACCCGAAATGGAGGTCAGGATCGGGGAGGGTGGCGGACAGCTGGGGTGTCCGAAGGCACGGTCGAAGAGGAGAGTCTTGAAGGAGGCAATGAAGGGGGCGAGGCAGAGGGACTGCGATGGAGTTCCAGAGGGTGGGGGCAAAGTGGCTGAAGGCCAATAAGTGGGGTGGATAAGGTGGGGGACGTGAAGCAGGCCGGAGCTCGCTGATGGAGGGAGCGAGCAGGTTGGTTGGGGGGTTAGGAGGTCGCAAAGTCAAGGAGGATGTATAGAACAGGTTCCCTAGGGAGACAGACGGTGGAAACAGAAAATTTTGTTTGTTTCAAGAACAAATGAGATAGATTTCTGTTAGAAAATAATATCTGGGGACACAGTGTATAGTTTGGGGCACGACATGTCAAGCGACTGCCAGGATGATGGAAGGCGAAATAGATGGAACTTGATCTTCTTTCGCCAGCAAATTCTTATATCCTCATTGCCCTCTCACACAGCTCTGGCTTACAACCCCAGGGACGATGGAAAATATCACAATACTTTCTGATGAATGCACATAGACACACACACACACACAGACACCCGCTCACGTTAATATACTGTGACATGTCTCACAGCTGTTGTGAAGCTAGGTTATACCTCCTTTCCCCCACACACCTCATTATAATCTTTTTCACACTGCCTCCCACTCAGGGATTACAAGAAATCTCCTTTCTACGCACCCACCGTTACCTGAACTCAAAGCCTCGCTCTCAGTGCTAGGCTGTGACAGGCATCTCTGTCTATTTCAGCGCTGGTGGCTGATGAATGTTCCCCCTCATTACTGCTCGACAATGTCCACAGTGCAGAGGTAACCAGTGTGTGGTGATTAATCCTTTCAAAAGGGAATTGGATAGGTACATGAAAAGGAAAAATTGCAGGACTATGGGGTAACAGTGGGGGAGTGGGTAGCTCTTCCAAAGAGCTGGCACAGGCACGATGGACCAAACCCTAACCCTCTGAGCTGTGATATTCTAGCGCTATATCAAATGCAAGGATTATTATTATTGTTTTTTATCATAATCCTAAATAATAATCCTGACGTTTATTGTAGTGGCTTTAATGTTGGGCGGATGTCTCAAAGCGCTTCACAGGATAAACTGCAAAGTGCAGTGACTATGTATTTATAGGGGAACATGACAGCCAATTTGCACACAGCAAATTTCCCACAATCAGCCTGACTAATTTTATATGGGCGATTATTGGCCAGGACACTGGGGGAGAGAGAGAGAGAGAGAGTGAGAGAAACTCCCTTCTTGCTTGGTTTAGTGCCATCAGGACCTCAGTTTAACTCGAGTCTCGTCTGAAGGATGGCACCTCTCACAATGCTGCACTCCCCCCCAGCACTGTACTGGGGTATCAGCCTCCTGTGCGATCTCAAAGTCCTGACGTGGGGGCTTCAACAATCAATAACTTTCCGATTGGGGAGGCGACAGTGTGGCAGACTGAGCCTGGCTGCCACATCAACAACAACAAACCTTTCAGGTCGGGAGAACATCCCAAGCCGATGGACAGTCAGGGATTTTGACCCGAGCATGGGGTTGGGATCAGGAGGGGTGGAGGGTAGGGTTAGGAGGGTGGCCTAACGCACAGTCGAAGAGGAGGGTCTTGAGTCAAGTTTTGAAGGAGGCAAGGGAGAGAGCAAGGCGAAGGGAATGTGGGAATGTAGAGTTCCAAAGGGTGGGGGCACAGAGGCTGAAGGCCCGACTGCGATGGTGAGGCCGGCCGGGCAGGGGACGTGGAGCAGGCCAGAGCCTGCTGAGCAGAGGGAGCGGATAATTGATGTGGGGTCAGCAGGAAGTAGGAGGGAGCGAGGCTGTGGGGGTTTGGTGGCATGTCCTGTGTGGACATTGGCTATGGTGTTAGGTGCCAGATGTTGGCGGTGCTCACCAGCCGGGGCTTTCCGCTGCTTGTCCATCCTCTCCAGGCTCTGCAGCAGGCGGTCGATGCGGAACTTGATCTGCGTCAACTCTTTCTTTATCGTCTGCAGGTCGTCAGCTTTTACTGCAAGACATCAGTGACAAACGTGGGTCAGCAGCTGTGTGTTCCTCAAACCACTTTGGCCACCCTCCCTGCCCTCCACCCCTCCTGATCCCAACCCCCAGCTCGAGTACAAATTCGTGACTGTCCAGCGCCTTGGGACATCCTCCCGATGTGAAAGGCGCTATAGCAAATGTAAGAATTATTATTATTCATTCAACCTAAATTTGGAAGCCGTTTTGTTCGCAGACACTACAAAGGCTTCAAAATTAAGACTATTTGCAAATTTTCCACAAATCAACGCGACATTAAATTGGAGTCGAGGTACAGATCAGCCGCGATCTTACAGATTGGCAGAACAGTCTCAAGGGGTTGAGTGAATGACCTATTCCTGTTCCTACGTTAAGAGAAAGTGGCCTGGCAGGCTGAGACTAGGTGGAATTCCCAGCGTCCATGTGATGGTTTGAGGTGTACACACAGATGAGTTGGGAAGCAGGAACTGTGAGCAGGGTAAGCTATGTAAAGCACAATAGCCATCTGCTTTGCATAGCCTGGGGTTCACTGTGTAAGTGCAATCAAAATGAAACTGGAATGATTTAATTCCGAGTGGCAGGAAGCAGGGTTGGATACTCCGGTACCTGGGTTTCAAACCAAACAGATGGTGAGCGAGAACTCAGCTCTTGACAAAGCTAATCTGGTTCTGGGTGGGCAGTGCTGTCCAGGGCGGAAGAAATGGGCCTTTAAGTAATAACATTGCTTTTTGGCAATTAAAGATCAGTGTGAATACTGTAGCAATTTACTGAAAACTTCTGTATGACTGCACTCTGGAGAGAGAGAGAGAGCGAGAGAGTCCTAACGTTTGACTGGGATAACAGGGCTTTCGGGGTGGTTCAGTACAGCCTTGTGGATAACAGCAGCACCTGCTACTGATGCGAGTGTCCATTGCATTTAGACGAGACAGGAGTAGAGGGAAGGGGTTTCAAAGAAAGTGAACAGTCCGATTTGCAGTGTTAGCTGTGAGGAATAATAATCCTTGTACACAGCACCTCATCAAATCATTGAGACGTCTCAAAGTGCTTCACAGAATATACTGCGAAGTGGAGTGACTATATTTTGTGGGCGAAATGAGAAAGCTGGGGCTCTTACAGCCTCAAAGGGGGATGTCTCAGAGGGACCTTAAGAAGATATGTAGGATAATAATCACAATAATAGATCTCTTTTTCTTACATAAGTTACACAGAAGATTAGAGCACAGAAACAGACCAATTTATCTGGACAGGAGGATATACACACTATGTGAGACTCCCACTAATCCTATTCCCTTCTCTCTCACACACGTATCAAGTTTCCTCTTAATCACACTGTTGCCTTTTGCTTCAATCAGGGTTCACCTACAAATACACAGTCACTACACTTTAGCGAATCCTGTGAAGCGCTTTGAGATGTCCAGCTGGCAGTCTGCCTTTGTCCCACTGTCAATTTATTCTCACTCTAATGCGCCATTCGTTTGGCACCCGAAGGGTTAAACTATTAGTTTGTTTTTTTAGCGGCTGAATTAGGCGAAAAGCTGACTTTTTGTTCTTTGTTCTGCACTATTAATTTAGTATAATTGCATTTCGTAATAGATTTCTATATAAAAAGAGCAAGCGTGAAAGTGAACATTTAATGAACGCGCCATCTGGTTTGCCGGGAAGTACACAGGAGCAGCTAATTAAAACCTCTTAAATTCCCATTTCAATTAGGCAGGCTGAGGGGACGGGAGACACTCACTGTGACAGCCTGGCGTTACTGATTCAGTCAGGACTCGCGGACGATCAGAGCAATGCCATTCCCCTTCCCGCAGCCCCGGGGAAAACATGCCGCAACTTTGGTATGAGGCGCTCGTGTTTAAAATACCCCTAGTGATGATTTGCTGCAAATGGAAGTGCTTCAGTGGCTGAGCCACTGTGCTTCCACTCCCAAAACCTCTTCACTGTTTTCAAACCCTTATAAAAATCAAACCTCTTCGACCTCGCCTTCAGTCGTCTGCCCTCTCCTCTCCGGTTGAGTTCCCTGGCTGCTGAGAAGTTACCCTACTTGAGAGAAGCAAATTTCTCTCTCCCGGTGTCCTGGCCAACTATACCCCAGAAAAAAATCGGTCACTTACTTGACCAATTGCTCTCTCTGCAAATTGGCTGCCAAGTTCGCCTACAAGATACACGATCACTGCACTCTATAGTATATCCTGTGAAGCGCATTGAGACGTCCTCCCTGATGTGAAAGGCGCTGTATCAAGTGCAAGAATTGTTTATTTCCTTTGCTAGGTTTTGTAGAAAAGCTTAGACAACGTGATTCCAACTACCCACGTGGGGCTTGAACCCACAGCAAGGAAGTGTTGTAACTATTGCAGTATTGTCACCCACAATACAGAGTATTGTTCTGCAGTTACTGTTTTAATCCGGTTTAAAATGTTAATCACCTAAAATAAGGCATTCACATTTACAAGACTGAGGTGGACAGAAGTTTGTTAGGTCAGGATATTAAGGGGTACAGAGCAAGGGCAGGTAATTGGACTTGAGGTACAGAGATCGGCCATGATCTTGTAGAATGGCGGAACAGGCTCGAGGGGCTGAATGGCCTCCTCCTGTTTCTATGTGTTCTCTCAAGACTGAACCCTCCTCCCCTCGAGCTAGATGTGTTTAAGCGTGGCGCTCGCTTTCCTGGAGGGAGAGCTTGGTCAGTGGTTTTAAGTTCGCTGTTTGCGGTGACGCCTTTAGTCAGGGACGAGGACAATTGCTCACATTTTGTCCCGTGGGATGGGGTGGAGCCACCACTGCCCCGAGGTCCACTCTTCATGGCGAAGTTGCCCTTGCTTCTCCGGGTCACAGGCACTGTGACCCGCGGGCGTTTGACGGGGGGCACTGCCCGGCTGGGTGGGGGCACTCTGTGGTAATCGTACATCCTGGAAGGAAAAGACAGGGCGCCGTGAGGCACAAAGCACATCGGGAACCAGCGGTACATGGAGCTCAGGCTGAGTACAACAACAACAACAACAAAATGACATTTATAGAGCGCCTTTCACGTCGGGAGGACGTCTCAAAGTGCTGAACGGTTGGGTGTCGGGGCCCGAGCATGGGGGAGGGGTGGGGGAGGGGGGAGGGAAAGCAGAGAGGTGGGAGGGAGACGAAAGGTACGATCGAAGAGAAGGGTCGTGAGACCGGCCTTGAAGCGAGGAAGCGAGGCCAAGGGACTGTGGGATGGAGTTCCAGAGTGTGGGGGCAGAGAGGCTGAATATTATAGTCTTTGCATTTAACATACACTACAACATACATAAGTCTGAGCTGTATGAATCGTATAATCACCTAAATAGTACATCTGTCCAAGTCCTGTTCAAGAGCTTATATTCTATGGAGATTTGACATGACTCATACTTTGAAAAAATCATATTAAACATATGATCCTGACTGATATGACTTATGCGAGGTCCCCTGTAATGCCTTATCACATTGTTGCGATGTCTCAAAGAGCTTATAATAATAATCATAATCCTTGCATTTGACATAGCGCCTTACCATGTCTTCGAGACGTCTCGAAGCGCTTTCCACATGTGTCAGACACCAGCCATTGAAGGAAGCTGTTCCCAGTGAAACTGCTCTCAGTTTAGTCCCATTCTCCCACACCCCCTGCTCTACGAAGCCCATATTATATTTCGCCCCAGCACTTTTCACGGTTCGGTGATAATTCTGGTGCTGTTTACTGAAAACAGCAGCGAGCGAGAAATTCATTCAAAGTGCCTATTTATGATTAATTGCTGTGCCGTCTCCATGGTGACATGACCAGAGCTCGCTGCCTCTGACATTCATTGATAGATGGTGGAGGAGAGTTGTGTGGATCTCACACCCTGTGCACAATGGATTTTATGCACGGCAAGCACCGGCTTTTCTGTCGCTGTACAGTCGACAAATGGCATTGAATAAAACTAATCTGAAGCCTCACGGAGTTATACTAATAATAATAATCCTCGCATTTGATACAGCACCTCATCACGTCTTCGAGACGTCTCAAAGCGCTTCACAAGACATACTGTAAAGTGAATTGACTGTATATTTTGTGGGTGAAACGCAGCAGCCAATTGCTGACAGCACCGTCCCACAAACAGTCTTAATCGACTTCAACAAGAAAAACTCACTTAACAGAGAAAGCCTGGTGCTGGGTAGAAGTACTACTGCATAGCCATGACCACCACACAGTATTTAAAGTGGAGTTACACAGCAACGCACGGAATCTGTATACATTGTACACAGACTGTACAGCACCAAGGCCCTCAGTCTAACTAGCCCAAGCCGGTGTTTATAGTCCACACAAACCTCCACCCCGATAAGCCCCTCTCCCTACCCCTCAGGAGCGTACTCTCGTCTTGGATGCTCTGATGTTTCTGTGTCCCCATGTTGCTATGTCCCTGTTTTACAATTTACTACAAAGGTATTCAGCCCATCGTGTCAATCCTGTGAAGCACTGACTGTCCAGCGCCTCGGGACACCCTCCCGACGTGATAGTACTATACAAATGTCATTTTGTTGTTGTTGATCATGCGATATCTGTTACAATGTCCCTGTGTTACGATGTCCCTGTGTTACGATGTCCCTGTGTTACGATGTCCCTGTGTTACAATGTCTGTGTTACGATGTCCCTGTGTTACGATGTCCCTGTGTTACGATGTCCCTGTGTTACGATGTCTGTGTTATGATGTCCCTGTGTTACAATGTTTCGATTTATGATGTCTGTGTTACGATGTCTGTGTTACGATGTCCCTGTGTTACGATGTCTGTGTTACAATGTCTGTGTTACAATGTCTGTGTTACGATGTCCCTGTGTTACGATGTCTGTGTTACGATGTCCCTGTGTTACGATGTCTGTTACAATGTTTCGATTTATGATGTCCTTGTTACGATTTCTGTGTTACGATGTCCCTGTGTTACGATGTCTGTGTTACGATGTCTGTGTTACGATGTTCCTGTGTTACGATGTCCCTGTGTTACGATGTTCCTGTGTTACGATGTCCCTGTGTCATGATGTCCCTGTGTCACGATGTCTGTGTTACGATGTCTGTGTTACGATGTTCCTGTGTTACGATGTCCCTGTGTTACGATGTTCCTGTGTTACGATGTCCCTGTGTCATGATGTCCCTGTGTCACGATGTCTGTGTTACAATGTCTGTGTTACGATGTCCCTGTGTTACGATGTCTGTGTTACGATGTCCCTGTGTTACGAAGTCTGTGTTACGATGTCTGTGTTACGATGTTCCTGTGTTACGATGTCCCTGTGTTACGATGTCCCTGTGTTACGATGTTCCTGTGTTACGATGTCCCTGTGATCTCATGTGACTCTGTTGGTACACTATAATGTGTGATACAGAGGACAAACGAGGTCATGATAATCCCAAGTGTGAGGGCAAAGAGGTTACGAGAGTTGATCAGTGGTTCACCGTCAGAGAGAAAGAGTTTTACGAAGGATTTGAACAGAGAAAGGAAGGATTCTGGAGGTGTTTTCCATAGTGAGTCAGAAAAGACAGACAGGAAGACAGAAGCTCTGTGTGTACGGTTGAGGATATCGATCGGTTAGAAGTGAGATCACGAAACATGATTTCGTCCAAATATTATACAGTCACTACACTTAATAGTATCTTCTGTGAAGCGCTTTGAGACATCTCAATGACGTGACAAGGCACTATATCAAATGTAAGGATTATTATTATGATTTCTCACACAGAGGAATGTGAATGTGAGAATGTGTAACCCGTGGCCCCATGGCCTTTGCACCTGTAGCTCAGTGGTTGGAGCACTCGCCTCACAACAGAGAGGACCTGGGTTCGATTCCCGGCAAGTGGAAACCTTGGGCAAGTTTCCGTACTCCACACGCCTGACAATAATCCCTCAAGAGAAAAAACAATAATAATTTGGTCACTCAATCCACGACTGTTTGTGGGACGCTGCTGTGCATAATTGGCCGCCGGGTTTCGCCCAAAAAAATACAGTCAATTCACTTTATAGTATATCCTGTGAAGCGCTTTGAGATGTCTCAAAGACGTGAAAAAGCACTATATCCAATGCAAGGATTATTATTACACACAGCAACAACAAGATGAAGCAAGAGAAAGGGACTATGGGATGAAGTTCTGCCATGATGTAATAAAACTGGTGGAACATGCTGGATGGGCTGAATGGCCTTGTGTCCCTGTTATGATGGCGCCAACAAGAGACTGTACACAGCGTTCCACATTCCCAACTGCTTCTTGTGCATTTTTTTTACAAACCTCCCCTTTAATTCACCTTCTGGTTACCTGTGCGCAATTGGCTGCCGCGTTTCGCCCAAAAAATATACAGTCAATTCATTTTACAGTACCGTCTGTGAAACGTTTTGAGACGTCTCGAAAACGTGCTAAGGCGTTATACCAAAGGATTATTATTATTATCATTAATTTTGGCCTTGCTTTGTTTTGCTTTGGCCTTTGCAGCAAATATGTTTTATTAGCCAGCTAGCTGCACAGAATGATTTCCATATATTTGTGAATCTGTTCAGCTGTCTGTGAGTTATTTGGAGGGTTTAAAGCAGTGTGTGAAGGTTGGGGAAAAAACAACCACATCCCGATGAAAATCATCAGAATCTATTCTCCTCAGCCCATCAATTCCGCTAGAAGAAATCTGGGTGTCAGACAGCCGGAAAATCAGCCTGGATGGCCAACGAGTGGAGACAGGCTCCGTCAACTGGAACAAGACTGAGGTTTAAGATAGTTGCAGGGAGACAGGCCCTGAGAGGAGCGTTTATTCCGCTCAAGTCCTGTAGCTCAATAGTTAGAGCACTCGCCTCGCAAGAGACTTGGGTTCAATTCCCGGGAGGACGAAACGTCGGGCAAATTTCCTTACTCCACACGCCTCTGTTTACCCAATGAGTAGGAACCCGGTTGTTAGTCAATTGGCGGATCGCTTTTCCAGTGGTAATAATTCGTTAAAAAATGATAAATTGGTCACTCAATCCAGGACTGTTTGTGGGACGCTGCTGTGCACAATCGGCTGCCACATTTCGCCCACAAAATGTACAGTCAATTCACTTGGATATTCTGTGAAGCGCTTTGAGATGTTGCAAAGATGTGATAAGGCCCTGTATCAAATGTAAGGATTATTACAATTATTAACACACACAAAAGGAACTTTCATTTATACTGCGTCCTTCATGCAGGATATTGCATTGGAGTGCTTCATTATGACAGGAGCTACACTGAGCAAAGGAGAAGGGGTTGGAGAAAGGGGAGGTCACTATAGCCACACAAAGTGTTTTTAGGCAGGATTTGAAGTGTGCAGCTGCTGTATCAGGCTCTGTGCCCACAGCGCCCATTGGACACTGTCCAGCAAGTTGTTTGATGAAAAACCACATAATGTGCGACAGTTTGTGATCAATGCCAAAGACGGTTGGGTTAATGGTAACACTCAATCAACAGCATTCTCCAGCAAGGCCGGTCAGTCAAGAGATCCGAGTGTTCAATTGTTTGGCATGTCCGTGGGGCAAAGAGAGATTAAGTAAGTTTAATGTAAGTCATATTGATTAGCTGCCCGGAGTGAAGACAAATCCAGTGCTTTGGGGAAAAAAAACACCTGAGTTACTATCAATACAGCACCTCAGCCAATCTTAAAGGGAAAGACCAGCCTCCAACACTCACACCAGCACAGCCCCGCTACAGTCAGTGTGACCACGTCCCATGTGCCCTAACAACCTGACTAATAGCTGGCCTCAGTCAGTAACATTTTCACCTCTGGGTCAAAGTTTGTGCGTGCAAGCCCCAGGTCAGGACTTGGAATCACAGCGTCTCAGCTGACGATCCAGTGCAGCTATGGGGGCGGGTGGGGTGGTACATTGTCGATGGCGCCGTCCTTTGGGTGAGACATTAAGCCGAGGTCCCGTCTGCATGTTCAGGTGGATGTTGAAGATCCTGTGGCACTGTTCGAAAAGAGAAGGGAGTTTCTCTCTCCTGGTGTCCTGGCCAACAATCCCTCAAATAAAATTGGTGAAGTGACACAATTCTCCAGGTATGGCTTGGCAGGGTCAGAGTTATAGTTTGGGCTCCCCCTTACCCCTCTCCCTCTGGAGTTCATGCCAGACCTCGCGAACGCACAAGAGATGGAAAAATGAAAATTCCATCCAGTGTTAGCCTGTAAAATAATAATAATCCTTGCATTTGATACAGCGCCTTATCACGTCTTCAAGTCGTCTCAAAGCGCTTCACAGAATATACTGTATATGTTGTGGGTGAAACACGGCAGCCAAATGCACACAGTAGTGTTCCAGAAACAGTTGTGGGTTGAGTGATCAAATTATTATTTTTTTAAGGGATTAATCCGCCGGAAAAGCGATCCACCAATTAACTAACAAACGGGTTCCTACCTACTGCTAGGTAAACAGAGGCGTGAGGAGTAACAAAACTTGCCCAACATTTCGCCCTGCCCGGGAATCACCCAGATCCTTTCACTTGCCAGGCGAGTGCTCTTGACTACTGAACTATAGGACTGATTCTTAAGCTCTTTTTTCAGAACTGCAGTAAATCACAGCTTCCAAATCAAGACTGCATTTAAGATTTTTTTCACAATTCTGCCCGGTTCTTGAGACAAAATGGGATCAAAGGCTGAGACTAGGCGAATGTCAACCCTGTTGGAGATGTAGTCAGGTGCTCGCTCCCTTTAACAAACACTGGAGATGAGCAATTTAACTCAAAATGGAATTTGCCGCTGTGTGGATTGGGAGCACAACCGAGGACTGAGCAGTTATCTTCTTGGTGTGTAGATTTCCCCAATTTGCTATATAAGAATAGGGGCAAATTAGTTTTGAAGATGCAATAAAGAGCATGATTATCCTAACAGCCGAGGCAAATCTTTGGGTTGCGACCATCAAATGCTTCACCTTCTCAAACTATTTCGTGAGAGTCCAGCTGTCGATGGAGCTCACTGTAAGGAGCGCGTGGTGGGAAACTGTCCCGTCTCAAAACCTTCTTGTATAAAACAGATCTCTTTAAACTTGCGTCTTCAATCGCGAGATTGCCAGATGGGTTTGGATGAAGGAGGCCCTTTGGCCCATCTCCGTAGGGAATCCACAAGGAAGGCTGTTTGAGATTGGGATTTGTTTGAATGCTGCGATGGGTGAATGTCAGGGCTGGGATTCTGGAGGGATGAGATCAGATGAGCTGAAGGACCTTCTTTCTTCATTCGAACCTCTGTTGTAGTGAGTTAAGTGAGAGACCCTTTGTGTGTAAGATTAATACAATAGTCCTGGTGAGATGCCAACTGGTTCAAGCCTAAGTAAGTAATCATGTTGCCCATGTGTTGAGTTTTGCTGTAGGCTTTCCTGGATCTGGGAAACCTTTTGTCAGTGTGGCTGACCTCCCACATGTGCACACGCATGGATTCACGTACACATGCAGACCCAAACACACAACACGCATGCATGCGCACAGCGATGCGCTTCTCTTGCACACATGCACATATATCTACATAGATATATCTACATGCACGGACATTTATATTAAGAGCAATTCGGGTGGTGGGTGTGGGGGGGGGGGGGCGCAGGGGTCAAGACAATCAGTTAACACGATCGAGTGACATGGGACTTACGTACCTGTCATAGAAGTCGTCTCTGTAATAGTCGTAGTCAAAGTCATAGCCACCTCTGTGGAGAGAAAACAAGCGATTCAGTCAGAGCTCCGCAAGGACCCAGAATGGGCAATAATCCCAGGCTTCCCTGAGGTGTTTTAGGTAGTTAGCTAGCTTTCCGTTTATGGGACGCTGCTGTGCACAATTGGCTGTCACGTTTCACCCACAAAATATATAGTCAGTTTACTTTCAGAATATTCTGCGAAGCGCTTTGAGACGTCTCAACGACGTGATAAGGCGCTGTGTGAAATCCAAAGTTTCTTAATATTATTATATTAGCTATTGGGGATTTAGCTTGCTGAGGAGCAACAATAAAAATAATAATAATAATCCTTGCATTTGATAAAGCGCCTTATCACGTCGTTGAAACGTCTCAAAGCGCTTCACATAAACATGTTGTGGCCGAAATGCGGAGCCCAATTGTGCACAACGACAGGAACAGTCAGACAAACGCACAAAGATTTGCGCACAGCAATGTCCCAAAGACAGTGGTGAGGTGAAGGAGGGGTTTTAGCTGCGGGATTGTCGGTCGTGCCAAGATTTGAGTGCAGACACTCGATTCTCATTATACTAATCGAGATTTGATTTACATCCTGGCCCATCTCATCCAGCTCTCAAATCAGCTGCTTGTTATTGCTTTTAGCTTCACCGGGGTCATTTATTCTGCAATAACTGAACTCAATTTCCACATTGAGAGTATTAGGCATAATGCACAGTATTTGTAATGCCGGTAAGGGCAAACTGATTGACTGCATTCCAAACAGCCCATTAGCATTACATCAAACCGTTTCCCTGTGGTTCGGGCTGTGACAGAGGGCTGACAAGGCTCTCGTCTCTCTCTCTCCAAAATTATATCAATGAATAATAATAAAGCCTCTCACATGTCCATAGCCAACTGCAAGGACTTTCATTACAAACTATTAAGTTGCCGTTTGGCTCTCAGCTGGGCTGTGCTGTGCTTTCTCATGCAAATTATTTGGTGCTCATCGAGGCGATGTGTACAGCTGCAACCTTGGCCTGTTATGTGGTGTTGTGCTGTGTGGTCAATGAGACAGCTCAGTGGCTCTGAAAGGTATCTCTGAACCAGCGCTGGATTCAACGAGAGTCAATAATAATAATAATCCATGCATTTGATACAGCACCTTTCACGTCTTCGAGACGACTCAAAACGCTTCACAGAATATACTGTAAAGTGAATTGACTGTGTGTTTTGTGGGTGAAACGCGGCAGCCAATTGCACACAGCAGCGTCCCACAAACAATCGTGGATTGAATGACCAAATTATTATTATTATCATTTTCTGGAGGGATTATTATCCTCAGAAAAGCGATCTGCCAATCAACTAACAACTGGATTCCTATTTACTGCTAGGCAAACAGAGGAGTGCGGAGTAAGGAAACTTGCCCAACGTTTCGCCCTGCCCGGGAACCAAACCCAGGTCCTCTCGCTTGTAAAGTGAGTGCTCTAATCACTGAGCTAACAGGACTCCACGTTATGTGAATAATAATGTAAAACAGACATACGAGAGCAACAAGTTGCATTTCCTACATAGATCCTGCAATCATCGGTGCAACTGGGACTGGTTTGACAAAATACCTGAACAAAATATCAACCTCCTGCAAAAAGTAGCTATTTTAGGAAGTTCAAATATATGGAGAAAAATAACGACGATTCATATGCAATGGTATTGGTCTGGCTGACTGACACTGAAAACCACTTAAAAATTACCTCTACAGAGTGATTTAAACTGTGATAACATCAAAATAATAATCCTTGTATTTGGTATAGCACCCCATCGCTAGGAAACATCTCTCAAGGTTCTGAGCAACTCAACAACAACTTGCATTTATTTAGTGCCCTTCACATGGGATAGCGTCCCAGAGCTCAACAGCCGAAGCTATATTGAGAGAAGGTGACAACACATGGGAAAGATCGAACCTGGGACCTTACTTTAAAGTCAGATCTTCGAATCTATTCTTGGTCTCTCCATCTCACTGGACAAGCAGCGGGAAGCTGGCTAGACAGACAGCTTCAAATGCCTCGCTCTCTGCTGGATAAGTACACAACTCTTTGTATCAAGAGCCACTCCATTAATAAAAATAATCTTTGCATTTGATATGGAGCCTTATCATGTCTTCGAGATGTCTCAAAGCACTTCACAAAATATAATGCCATTATATTCCATTATTACCTCCGAAAAAGCGATCCGCCAATCGACTGGCAATCAGGTTCTACCCATTGCTAGGTCAACAGAGACGGGTGGAGCAAGGAAACTTGCCCAGGAATCGAACCCAGGTCCTCTTGCCTGTGAGGAGTACTCTAACCACCAGTTAGCACTCCCTAGACTTTATCCTGCGTGGAGGGCGCTATATAAGTGCAAGTTATTGATGTTGTAACACTTTTGGACGTTTTGAGGCGATAAAATGATGTAAAACTCAAAAAAATTATTGTTGTAAATCCTGTGGCTTGGGTGGGTGTATATTCTGTGTGGGGTGATTTCACATTGGATCATTTCCTTCACTCAGGCGATTAGTATTTCAACCCTGCTGGATATTCACAGCACCAGATTGTAGCGTGTGTGAGAGAGAGAGCGAGCGAGAGAGAGAAAATCCCAAAGTTGTGATGTGATCTAACAGAGTCAGATCTCAGCTGAACTCTACCATCAAAGCTTCAGTAGCTTAAAACAGCTGAAACCTGAGCTTAGTCACACCTCCTGAGCTGCTATTTATTTCCTAGTGGCTATTTACTGTGTTGTACTGTTTCTGCCACTGATAAACCCATTGAAGAGACAACAATAACAACAGCGCAAGCGAGAGGACCCGGGTTTGATTCCCGGGCGGGGGCAAAATGTTGGGCAAATTTCCTTACCCGACACGCCTCTGTTTACCCAGCAGTAAGTAGGACCCCGGTTGTTAGGGGATTGGCCGATCGCTTTCCGGGGATAATAATCCCTTAAAAAAAATGTAATCACTCAAACCCTGACTGTTTGTGGGACGCTGCTGTGTGAAATTGGCTAGCACGTTTCGCCCACAAAATATACAGTCAATTCACTTTAAGGTATATTCTGTGATGAGCTTTGAGACGTATCAGTGAGATGATGAGGCGCTGTATCAAATGCAAGATTATTATTATTAACATTATTATTATCTCCATACTTCGTAAAAGATAAAATCTTATTTAAAGAATCTTTGCGGAAAATTTTTCCAAACCAACAACTTACCTTTATACTACTAATAATAATCCTTGCATTTGATACAGCGCCTTATCATATCTTCACCACGTCTCAAAGCGCTTCACAGAATATACTGTAAAGTGAATAGACTCAAGCACTCTGGGACGCTACTCTGTGTGAGGAGCGCAAGTTGTTGTTGTATATTTTGTGGGAGAAATGCAGCGGCCAATTGTGCCCAGCAGTGTCCCACAATAGTCCCCCGTGGATTGAGTGACCAAATTATTATTAGTTATTTTTTTTTACAAATTGGGAAGGGATTATTAAACCCAGAAAAGCCAATCAACTAACAACCGGGTTCCTACTTACTGCTAGGTAAACAGAGGCATGTGCTTGGAGTAAGGAAGGAAACTTGCCCAACATTTTGCTCTGCCCGGGAATCGAACCCAGGTCTTCTCACTTGCAAGTACTGTAACCACTGAGCTACTTACAGTGCCCTTCACTCAGGATAGCGTCTCGGAGCGCTACACTGTGTACGTGTTCGGGGCAAGGGAGAGGGGGAGATGACCACAGACCCTGTCCATAGAGGCAGGTCTTAAGGTGGGATTTAAAGACAGATAATAAGGAGGCGAAGCAGAGGGATTGAGGCATCGATCAGGACTGGATTCAAGAACATTTCACAATTCTGTCTCATGTTCAATTTGAAGACACCAACAACAACAGCTTGCATTTATATAGCGCCCCTCACAAGGTAGGGTCCCAGAACGCTTAATAACCAAGGCAAGGTGGTCCCAGGCTGAGACTGTGACTGGAAGGGAGGAATTCTAGGTGTGATGCCTAAAAAGGCATCGACAACAGAGACGCAATGAACAGAAAATATTATCCCCAGAGATTTGTGATAAATGTGATCTTGGTGAGGGCATGTTATCCACTTGCAAACACACCCAGTGACCTAAGGTGTCTGGAGAATGAGGTTATTATTGTTAAATATTATATATTATAGTTCTATCTCCGTCCATTCCACAAGGTCGCTTATTACCAGCTCAATCACCCAGCAATGTGCTCCCTTACCTCCTTCAAGGCCGGTCTCAAGAGCCTTTGCTTTGATTGTGCCTTTGGTCTCCTTCCCACCTCTCTGCCTTCCTTCACCCCTACACCACCCCTCCCCCATGCTCGGGCCCCGACAGCTGACTGTTCAGTGCTTTGGGACATTCTTCCGACATGAAAGGCGTTCTATAAATGTCATTTTGTTGTTGTTGTTATATATTCGAGTGGATTCAGCCTGGCTCAGTGGTAGCGCTCTCGCATCTGAGTCCGTAGTTTGTGGGTTCAAAGCCTCACTTTGGGAACTTGGAATCATATAGTCTAAGCTGGCGCTCCTATACAGTGCTGCAGGGTGTTGCATTGTCGGAGGTGCTGTCCTTCAGAAGAGATGTTAAACTGAAGCCAAAGTCTGTCTGTTCAGGTGGACGTTAGAGATCCCATTATGTGAAAAGAGAAGGGAGTTTCTCTCTGCCGGAGTCCCTGGCCAACAATCTCCCAATAAAAATTGGTCACTGACTCCATGTTGGTGGCACACAGCACACAGTCACTTCTCACTTTCTGACGTGAAAGGCGCAATACAAATCTTAAGGATTATTAAGATGAATTCAGCTTCGGGTGCGGTTTGAAGTGACATGGTGGTTGGGTTTGCAATGTATCTGATCCCACTCTCTGGAATTCCATCCCGGAGTCCCTACAACTCGCCCCTTCAAAGTCCTCCACAAGACTTTCCTGTTTGACTGCATCTTCAGTCATCTTCATTCCGCTCCCCCCAAAAGCCCCCCCCCCCATTCCCAGCTCGAGTG